TAAATGGAAGGAGAGAATAGGTACGACCTTGAGAGAGTGGGAATTTGGTTTGAGCAGGGCATAATGAGAAAAAGACTACTCCGAAACAAGCGCAGCATAAGAACCTTATAGGTGCTGCGGAACTGGTTAAAGGTTCTAAGCTGCAGCCACTTTAAAAGGAAGTACTTACTCGATTAGCGCTTGCTAAGGGAAGAGAGATAGATTTGCGGAAGAACTCTGCCGCACCGAGAAGTGTGAGGGTGAAAGCGGTTATGATACACCTTATATTTATTCTCGTAAACAAAAACCGGGAGCAGTCATTGAAAGAAGGAATGCGCGCCTACACATAAAATCCCGGTCGGAGAAGAAAGATCCCGAGAATTATACACATAGGGGAATCGCACGAGGATACGGGAACATGAACAAAAGGGTAGGAGGTTGGGAAGCAGCCTCGCTTCGATCATGCTAACCGGGGTAAAGTACTCGATTATATATTGCCTTAACTAACCACTACTAAACAAAAAATAACCCGCAGGTCTGAATCAACGGTAATGGTGCTCTGTTGTGTCCCTAAGATGCTTTCTGGCGGATGAAATAGCCGGTTCTTCCATTCGCCCTTCGAATACGAGGATTCATCAGAAATCGTGGGTAAAGCGAAAGCGAATTACTTGGCCGTGGAACGATCATAGGGGGGACCACTAAAAGTCTATTTTCAAAAACGAATGCCATAAAAAAAGGAGATTTGAGATTGCAATTCATAAAGGAAGAAAAAAAAAAAAAAAAAAAAAAAAAAAAAAAAAAAAAAAAAAAAAAAAAAAAAAAAAAAAAAAAAAAAAAAAAAAAAAAAAAAAAAAAAAAAAAAAAAAAAAAAAAAAAAAAAAAAAAAAAAAAAAAAAAAAAAAAAAAAAAAAAAAAAAAAAAAAAAAAAAAAAAAAAAAAAAAAAAAAAAAAAAAAAAAAAAAAAAAAAAAAAAAAAAAAAAAAAAAAAAAAAAAAAAAAAAAAAAAAAAAAAAAAAAAAAAAAAAAAAAAAAAAAAAAAAAAAAAAAAAAAAAAAAAAAAAAAAAAAAAAAAAAAAAAAAAAAAAAAAAAAAAAAAAAAAAAAAAAAAAAAAAAAAAAAAAAAAAAAAAAAAAAAAAAAAAAAAAAAAAAAAAAAAGAAACCCTTTAAACGGAATAAATTGAGGGGGAATGCTTTTTGAGTGACAGAGTTTTAGTTCAAGTGGATTAGTAAGATGGGTAAAGAAGAAAAATGTGGGAGGGCAGTGTACCCATCCAATTTTATAGTTTGGGTTTACATCAAATTGGTTTTGTGATTCAACTAGAAATCTTTAGGTGCTTTTGATCGACAATTATTTTTGTAAAAAATTAAACGAAGAAGATTTTTTTTTAGTCTCTTACGTATATCAGCGACATCATATTGTATATTGATAATAGTTGAAAAAATGGTATACTAGTTGAAAGAGAAATGATGAAATGCGATGGTTCACGTCATTGTATTAAACATGCAGTAATTAACTTATTACATTCATTTTTTAAATAAACCCAAGCCATACCACCACCGCTACCACCTTGTTTCCTCAAACAACCAATTACTATTGTACCACCTTCACTACCACCCCCTTACCATTCATCACTCTCACCGTCACCACCTACCACAAACTTTGCCACCACCACAAGAATAGAATCATCAAATTCCTTACTTAATCATTTTACTTATAGATTAGTCAACAATAATTTTACATAAATAACCACCTTCTTATGATAACAAAATTGAAACCAAATGAAATATGTGGAGGAAAAGGTATTTGGATCTCTCTAGTTACTAGTAATAGGGTAATTTAGGAGTTTATCCTATTTGGGAACATTTACCAGTATATACTCAACATTACGAAAACCCTACAATTTGCACAATTCTTAGCCAACTATTAGTGAGTCTGTTAAATGCTGACGTGTCAAAGTGGGACCCCTTTTTTGATGACGTGAACTTCCACGTGGACCAAAAATTAATTAAAATTAATTTTAAATTCTCTCCTCTCTCTCCCCAACCCAGCCAACCTCACCACGACTTTGCACAAAGTCATTGGCCCTCTCGCTTCCGTCTCTGCCCTCCTAGATCGAGAAGATGAGAAATTGAGAATGGCGGTCTGCCTTGATATGTCATCATCTTCTTCTTCTTCGGATTCTTCGAGGAAGATTCTCTACAAGATCGACCTTTGCAAGTCAGGGAGGATCTGGAAGCCGCCTCTAGGTTCAAAGGCCTATCTCTCTCTTCTCTCTCTCTCTCTCTCTCCTCTCTCTCTCAGTGCTCCGGTTCTTAAGTTTTTCTTTTATAATATTTAATTTTATGAATTATAATGGCTGAAGTATTTTATTGGCCAGTTGGAGAAAACATTGCTCGTTTATGAAACTATTGGCTGAAGTCTCTCTCTCTCTCTGAAACTATTGCTCGTTTGTGTTTATTTTAGATCTTTCTGTTTGGAGAAAACAATCTTTATATGCCAGTTTAGTACTCATGCACATTTTTGCTGCCCAATTCAACTAGTCATGTTAACTTAGATGCTTAGGTTTTTTTTTATTTTTTTATTTTTATGGTCTTCGCGTAAGGACAGAACGGGGAAATATTATATTTAGTTGCCTCAAGATTGTCTTCTACGTGAATTAAACTCGAGTGCACTCGAGGAGGGAGAGGGAGAGTTTGGTCTAATTTTTCACTGTGAGCCAACCCATATGCAACTTTGATGCTTGGTTCACCCGTCATATATATATCAACAGTTTTCTATATCCTCTCAATTGGGTACACTTGGACCAATCTGCACACGTAAATTCTATATTTTAATACAATTTGAACTTTGGAACTTTGAATAACATCAAAACCATCTATGCTAAGCTTACGTAAATTCTATATGTTTAATAAAATTTGAACTTTGAATGCAGGGCATGTAGAAATAACTCAATATTGTTTTAAAGTTTCTCCAACGTCCGTGTGGAAAAAGCTAAGTCATCCAACGGAATATTTCTCGTGGAATTTCATCCTTTTTTTTCTTTTTATATATATTTCCAGAATACTTTTGCATCAATCATTAATTATTTTAATTCCAAAATCTGCATGCAAACACGTCCAAAAAAAGGAAACAACAGTTTTCACTGAAACACGTAATCACCCGAATAAAGTTCCAAAAATATAATTATCTATACATAAAAGTTCCACAGCATTCCTATCGACCAGTCAATGGCACAGAAGCTGCATGTTATTGACTTTGAATTGAAGCCGCCGGTAAAAACCACGGTTCTTAATTCACAGCTGTCAAAAATTAATTATTTTTACTCTTATTCAAAAAAGATAAGTCGAGATTAGTAAAAGGAACATTTTTTACTCTTATTTTCAAACTCTGTCTAATTTTCATTTCGTATTTTTAATGAATTATTTTTATATATATGTCAATCGATAATTCGAAAGAAAAAATATCGCTTTCTAGAAAATACGGCAAAATCATTAGTAAACAAATCATATTCCACTGTGTATAGAGAGCCATGTGACTCACTTAATCCAAGACAAATAGGCATCAATGTTTCCCATTTTAAATTCATCGAGGAAACCCTATCTATTTTTTTTATTGACAGGGATAGGAATCATAGGCTTAGCTTCAGGTCCCAGGTCGAAGAAAAAGAAAGATAAGCTTCAGTAAAAAAAAAGATGAAAATATTCCAATTGTATCAAGTCACGTGTGCTCTTAAAATTGTGAAATTCAATATTGGAATATACTTTGTCCTTTGTTTTGTTTCCTTGTGTAAGAAACCTTTAAGCGAAATAAATGAGGTGAAATTGCTCTGGTGACAAGAGTTTTAATTCAAAGGGCATTAGCTAAGATGGGTAAAGAATAAAAATGGGGGGATGGGGGGGTAGGGCAGGTGTACCATCCAATTTATAGTTTGGTTTATACCTCAAATTGGTTTTGTAATTGAACTAAACCAATCATTTAAGTGAGTAGTTTGATTCAACCAATTTATTTTTGTGAACAATTGAATGAAGGTTTTATGTTCTCTTACGTATATCATACGAAACATCATACTGTATATTGAATAATAGTTGAAAAACAAAGTATAATAATTGAAGACTTAGAAATTTTGAAAGAAAAATGATGTCGAATTCAAATGGTTCCAAGGGTCATTTGATGTTAAACATGCAGTAATTAACCTATTACATTCACGTTTTCTACATAAAACCACATGATGAAATTAACCCCAAGTCATCACTACCGCTACCATCGTCACTGTTTCCTCAACAACCATCATCACTGTTTGTCACCACCTTATCATGGTCAGCACTCTCATCGTCACCATCCTACCACCAACATTGCCACCGCCACAAGAATAGAATTATCAAATTCCTTATTTAAAATCATTTTACTCATGGATTAGTCAAACGATAAATTTTACATAGATAAACAAATTCATAATGATTAACCAATTGAAACCAAATTGAAATATGTGGAGGAAAAAGGTATTTGATCTCTGTAGTTAATAGTAAGTAGGGTAATAATTTATTTTGATTTTGATTTTAGTAAGGGTCGATACATAAAGTTAGCAAACGGCGAACCGTAGCATTATATATTATTGCCGCCAAGACAGTGTCCTTGGACAGGGACATTCGGTTTGACGTTTCAAAAAACAGTCAAAAAGCAAAAACTAGAGAAATCTCCCTCTCACGCGGCCTTCTCTCTCTCTCTCTCTCTCTCTCTCTCTCTCTCCCCTACCTCTTCGTGTTTACTCTTTCTAGCATTTTCCAAAACAAAAGGAAACGCTTTTCTCTTGCTTGGCCTTTATATCATTTTATCTCATTCATGAATCACTCTCTTCTTTCTTTCCCTCCATGCCAAGTTACTAACCACTCCCTCTGTTTCTTTTATCTGCTTCTGTCTCTGCTTTGTTGTCTTTTCGTTGAGGTGTAGGACGCTAAGATTGTGTTTTGTTGGAGGCATCGAAAACAGTTTTTTCTTTTCTTCTTTTTGTTGTAGAGCAAAATGGGGTTCGTGATTTCGACCTCTAAGATTGTTTTTGCTCTTGTGTTGGGGTTTCTGGCGTTGAATTGCTTCACTGGGTTTGAATCGAATGCTCAACTTCTGCCTTTGGAAGAAGGTAAGTACAATAATTCATCATTCTCGCTTCAAATTTTTTTATTAGCGTTTCTGGGTTTTCGGATTTTGTGATGCTTTTGTGGTTCTGGGCACTGCATTGCATTTGGTTTGTTTATACACTTTGTAGTGAAAACTACTCTGTTTGGTTCCTGAGAAAACTCTAGGAAAGCAAAGAAATTTGAATTTTCTTAATGTTCTTGGTCTTCATCATCTGCATCAGTGTACTCTTTTTCGCTTTCTATTGTTTGTAAAGTTCCTGACTTTATTTCTCTCTGGTATTCGTTTTTGAAACTACATGTGTTTTCACTTCTAGAATAGAAATTGATTGTCTTTTCTCCATCAGTTTTTTTTTCTCAACATTTTCTCAGTAGTCAAACGGTACCCACTCCAAGTTTTGATCTTATAATCCGATGTTAAAGTCATATAGTTCACAGTTTATCAATTAGTTTGAAGATTTTTCTCCGAGAGATTCGTATAATCTGATTTGTCATTCTTCTCTGAATCACTATCAATGTCTTCTGCTATAGAGGTGGCAGCCAGGACCAATCATCTTGCTCAAGTACAGAATTGAGTTTAGTCTTGATAGAACTAGCAGCATCATAAGCCATCATCTTTTTGGCTAAAGAAAATATCCCCAATTTGTGTTGTTTTACTGATAGGATCGTCACGGTCAGAGAGGAAAATGAGTTTTGGTCGTTGATTTTCATTTCATCTTAGTGATTTTTATGTATTTGTGAGCCCAGAAGAGTTGCTATAGTTGGGGCCCACATGATGATGGAGAAATCTCCACATGATGGTGTATAGATCGCAGGCCTTATTGGTTCAGTAAATTCCTCCCAGTTGGCTCTGCAATCAATTGGGAGAGTAAAAAATGGCGATGAGGGACATTATGGTCCTTAACAGTTTATATGAATGCAAGTTGCAGAGTGGGCAGCTCTATCTGGTTGCATTGATGTTACCAGTCATGAAATTATTTACAAATTTGATATATTTGGAATTTTAATCTTAAATTTTTATCATGATTATCTGTTTGATTTGTCATATAGCAAATGTTGTGTGTTGATTGCCTCTTACTAAAAGTGCACCAATAATTGCATGATTTTGACCCCTTTTAAAATTGGTTTTAACCATATTTTGCATTTTATTTTATTTTTTTAGGATATAGAGAGAGTCCTAATTAAAAAACAAATGGTTTTACAGCCTGTGATTTATGAATAATGCTACTCTTACCACAATTGTATATCACATTCTCATATCAACTTATGTGACAGATAAGGTGGACAATACATCAATTAAAATTAATTTAATATTTTCTTTTCTTTTATGATTTATTGATACTTTTTAATTGATGTGATTGTCCACTTTATCTGCCACATAAAATATTATGAAAATGTGATATATAAATGTGATAAAAATAGCATTACTCGTTGTTTATTATGAGTTTTGGTCGACTGGAATTAGTTTTAGCTTTAGGGTTGACTGGGACCGCTACATAAATGCCTTGTAGTGTGAACTTGGGCTACTTGTAGTTTTGACCATATCCTCTGCCACCTATGAATTGAGAATACTAATAAATGGTCAGTCAGACCTAAGGAAAATGATATTGTTAATTAGTATGAAAAAATTGACCCTTGGTTCTGCATATGGATTTTGACCATGTGATCTATAAGTTGTGTCAAAGATGAGCCTGACACTTGATATGGGCAGTTTTTAATCTGAGATGACACTTTTGACTATTGCTTTGGAAGCCTTTAAGAATCTGCTAAATGTTTTTCTTTTTTGCCTGAAAAATCCGCTGGAATTTTTTTTTTCTTCAGTATATTATGAACATATGTTCAAAGTCCGTTTTGATGCCATTGACTAATAAAAACTCAAATGTGGTGAGTTAATGAACAAGTTTTTCAGAAAGGCTTGGTCCGTTTTAGTCATTTTTGTGAAGATTAAACTTGACATAAAATTTAAAACTTGGGTGTGATTTAGTAGTTTTATAGGTGCCAATAGTATGTGCACTCTTTAGCATAAGGACAGTGCTTCCCTCCTTTCCCGGAAGGAGGCATTTATTGGCTGTTGAAAATACTAGGTTTTTTTCTTCTTCTTTATTTAGTTATTTCTATAGTGAACCTATTGCTTCATATTACTAATTGATTTGTACGTGACAGTGAGAACTCTTGAAACAATTTCCACAAAACTACACAACACTCTCTGGAACATCAGCCGAAGTTCTTGCCAAGGTGGTGGATCAGGCTTTTACAGATACTTCACTGACAATATTCTAAGCAATGTCACATGCAACTGTTCCTTTGCAAACAACACTTGCCATGTCACAAACATGTACGACTTTTTTGGCTTGAAGTTTTATTGTTTTGAATTCCACTGTCAAAGTTTCCTTTGCTTAAATTTTGGCATTGCAGTGAGCTGAAGGGTCTCAATTTAACGGGAGTTATACCTGATGAATTTGGAAATCTTACTCATCTGGAAGAAATGTAAGTGATATGTATTTTGGCTACGCTTGCTTGCGCATATCGGCGTTGAATTTTCTTGTGCATAACTTGAGTATAGAGATGAATTGTTATTGGTGTTTTAGTGGAACATTTAACTCTGAGTCTCTCAGACGTCCTGCCATATTCATGGTTCTTTCAGATAAAGATAAACAAGTATTGAGTTAAAGAGATTTCAGCCTATTTTCCATGCATTATGAATCTCCTTCAGGAAATAGTACCTCTTTTGTTTAATGATCACAACCAATATAGAATGTGGGAAGACTAAGCTTTTTTGTTAACAGTGATCTCACTCGTAACTACATCAATGGATCAATCCCTGCAAGCCTTTCTCGTGCTCCTCTTCGCATTCTGTAAGTGATTAATATGCCTTCATATCACTGAGGAACTTAATTGATCGCCATGTGTTTTCTTTAATATCTGTCAGGCCTATTAGCATGTAACTGTTGGTATGCTGCAGGTCTCTTTTGGGAAATCGACTCAGTGGTTCAATTCCTGCGGCAATTGGTGACTTTACTATGCTCAGAGAGCTGTAAGTCTTGCACTGATGTTCTTTTTCTAAATGATAAAAAAGAAGGAATATGCATGCATAACCGTCATTGCCAAATTCCATTTTCCAGGGTGTTGGAGGATAATCAGTTTGACGGGCCTCTTCCGCAAAGTCTTGGGAAGTTGACTGACTTGGAAAGACTGTAAGACTGCCTTGCTATTCCTCATTCAAATATTTCATTTATGTCTGCAACCACTGCAACCAATGGAGGAAGCTTTTGTTGATCAATCAGAAATTTCCTGCCAGACTCATTTAACTAAGTTTCTTTTCATCTGTTTCATCTGTTTCAAGAGTAAAATGTATTTATGCATTAGATGGTTCATTTTCTTGGCTCCCTAGTGTTAGCTTTTCGATAAATCAGTTTTGATTCTATGTGACCTTTTCTGATCCACTGAAAAAGAGTTTACATTCTATATATATTGGAATTTTATTCATGCAACTTATATGTATGATTGATATCAGCACCTTGTTATGTACAGAATACCTGAAATTTTTTTGTCAACCTGGTTTGAGGTAAATGTAACCTACTCCTTATTTCTACAGCCTTCTTTCTGCGAACAACTTTACAGGGACAATACCGGAATCATTGGGAAATCTAAAGAAATTAGATGATTTGTAAGTGATGCAACATGACCCAATTGTTTGGATGTCAAGTATTTTGAACAGAGAATTTCTCATCTTCTTTTACTGCCTGCAGTAGGATAGATGGGAACCGATTATCAGGGAAGATACCTAGTTTTATTGGCAACTGGACGAATCTTGAAAGACTGTGAGTGCTGCTCTTCATTATATTCATCTCCCATCTTTTACTCCTTTAAATCAAGTTCTTGAATGTTGGTTAATGTTTATGTATTTTTGTGCACTGAACAATAAATTTAAATCTGTTGCAGTGATATTCAAGGCACATCCATGGAAGGCCCCATTCCTTCCACCATCTCTTTGTTGAAAAACTTAACTCAATTGTAAGAGCTTGCGCCTCTATCTTGTAATTACAATGAAACAAATAAGTATTTCTGACGTTTCTTTTGTACCAGGAGGATTTCTGATTTGAATGGATCAAGTATGCCTTTTCCTAATTTGACAGATACGAAAAATTTGGAGATAGTGTGAGTTCAAAATCACATAACCCTATCGAAACTGCGATTCTGTGTAATTATTAACGCAATTTTGCTAATTCTTGGTTGCATCTCTGTGGCTCAGGACTCTGAGAAATTGCTCAATTAGTGGTCTAATCCCAGATTACATTGGCGATCTGACAAAATTGACAACATTGTGAGTGCTTAGCTTAAATTTACCATCGTCAAACTGAACCAAAAAGAAATTTTCAGTTTTGTAAATTGCTGTCAGTTATTGTTACAAAACTTTCAGTTTTTTCAAAACCTTGTTCCCAAAATGGAGTAGATTCATGTTATATTTTGATTCTAATTATGTTTTGCAACCCATCAAGACAAATATCTGATATATGATAGTTCTTTCTCTCTTGTAGAGACCTGAGCTTTAACAAGTTGACTGGCGAAATTCCAGAGAACATTCAGGGTGTTGATAGTCTAGATTACATGTAAGTCAAGTAAATAAAGCAAGCATTCGTTTAGTTGTGCAAATGCTTTGCATTTTATTTATTCCTTGAATTAGCTATTATCTGCATCTTTCATTTACTGTAAGTTTTATGGATGCAGGTTTTTGACCAACAACTTACTGACCGGACAAGTGCCAAATTGGATAATTAACAACAAAATAATCTGTTAGTCTATTACTCTATTACTAATCTATGAAGTTTTGCTCATCTGTGTTTATTTCTTTACTCACTGGTTTAACTGTACAATTACTGCGACCAACTTTAACTTTATCTGTTTATCAATTATTTTGAATTTAGAGTTGTCATCAATGCCATGAAATTTCTGTTGCAGGGATTTGTCTTACAACAATTTTACAGGATCACCTTCTGTTAGTTGCCCACAGTTAAATGTGTAAGCTTTTTAATATCCAAAGCTTTTCCTAATAGAGAATACACGTGCACGCCTGTGCAAAGGCACCCACAAACTTAAGTACTTTCCTCCTACATTACTCGCAAAATTCTTTGTACTTATCATATGCTCCTTGCTTGTCCTATTTTCTCTACTAATTCCTTTGATTATTAAACAGGAATTTAGTTTCTAGTTATTCGTCTCCACAACAATCGTAAGTTTACTAAAACTTATAATTATTTTTTCATCAAACTTCATAAAATACATGTATGACTGAGCCTTAATCCTTTCAACAAATAGATGGTGCTTGGAGAAGGACCTCCCTTGCCCCTCAAAACCCCGACGTAAGTTTTGATTCATATGAGATTTTGCTTTCATGAACATGCAACAGCTTTTGAGTGGATGTGATAGGTGTCATGTCTAAATTTCTAATACAATTCCCATAACACCTGCAGACCATTCTTTGTTTATCAATTGTGGAGGGGAAAGGATGGAGTTTGAGGGCAATGAATATGAAGAGGACTTAACCACTGTGGGGACATCACACTTCGTTTCAATATCTGATAAGTGGGGTTATAGCAGTACGGGGGTTTACATGGGCAAGTCTCGTGCAGATTACATAGCAAGAAACACATTGTCTCTGAATATGAATGGTCCAGAGTTTTATCAAACAGCCCGCCTTGCCCCTCTCTCACTCAAGTACTATGGCCTTTGCATGATAAAGGGCAGTTACAAAGTAAAGCTCCACTTTTCTGAAATAATGTATTCTGATAGTGAGACATTCAGCAGCCTTGGGAAGCGCATATTTGATGTCTCAATTCAAGTGAGTAAAAGTGGGTTTGTATTATTGTCAAATTTTCATTTATGATTGGTAATCTTTTCTTTTTTCTTTACAAGATTTGGTTTGGCTATATGGTAAATTTGGTTGAAGCTTGTAAAGTTGTAATTTGCTTTTTCCGCAGGGGAATTTGGTTTTGAAGGATTTCAATATTATGGAGGAAGCAGGAGGCGTTGGTAAGGGCATCGTCAGGGAATATGATGTTCTTGTTAACGGTAGCACTCTAGAGATCCACTTATACTGGGCAGGAAAAGGAACTACTGCCATTCCTGACAGAGGTGTCTATGGACCTCTTATATCTGCAATTACTGTGACACCAAGTAAGCTTCACCCCTGTTCTAGGATTTCTGTTTTTTCTTTCTACTTGCGTGCATCTTAACTTCATTAAAACTTTTACTTTCTTTTCAGATTTTAAGGTTGATACTGGTGGGCTATCTGCTGGTTCTATTGCCGGCATTGTAGTAGCGTCATGTGTGTCCCTTGTATTGGTTTTGGTAGTCCTCCGACTGAGTGGTTTCTTAGGGGGAAAAGATGAGGATAAAGGTAAGGATAATCTCTGCATATAAAGTTGCTCTTTGCCGCACCAATTCTTGCAAGTAGGGGATGTATAGCCAAGCACAGTGAATTGTATTCTGCATGATCCTCAACATCAGAATAGGAGACAAAATGAGCTAGTTTTCTCTCTTGTTTTCACTATGTCTCATTGTATGGTAAATATCTAAAATCTTTCCTTGTGGCAGAACTGCGTCGTGGGCTAGAACTACAAACAGGTTATTTCACTTTACGACAAATTAAAGCTGCCACTGGTAACTTTGATCCTTCAAATAAGATAGGTGAAGGAGGTTTTGGGCCTGTTTACAAGGTAATGATTACTATAACAATATTTATTTTCCCACATGTGAATTGGGCACTAATTCACTGCACAAATGTGAAATAATTGATGGTTAGTGAAAGAAATATTCTTTATATAGATGTGATTCTGAAATAACCGTGCTCGATTCTCAGGGTGTTCTGGCAGATGGTGCTGTCATTGCTGTTAAGCAGCTCTCCTCCAAATCAAAGCAAGGGAACCGTGAGTTTGTTAATGAGATAGGCATGATATCTGCTTTGCAGCACCCAAATCTCGTGAAGCTTTTTGGTTGCTGTATTGAAGGAAACCAGTTGTTGCTTATATATGAATACATGGAAAACAATAGTCTTGCCCGTGCTCTTTTTGGTAAATACTTGCAACATCTTCAGCAGAATGTCATAAATTTGGAATAAGTCTTGTAACTTATTTCTCCCTTTCTCTTCCCCAAACATTTGTAGGTCATGACGAACAACGGCTAAATTTGGACTGGAAAACTAGAAAGAAGATATGTTTGGGGATAGCAAGGGGATTAGCTTATCTTCATGAAGAATCAAGGTTGAAAATTGTTCATAGGGATATAAAGGCAACCAATGTGCTGCTTGATAAGGATCTAAATGCAAAGATATCCGACTTCGGTTTAGCTAAGCTAGATGAAGAAGAGAACACGCATATCAGCACACGAATAGCTGGAACAATGTGAGCATTCTCTCTCGCATATTTTAGCTTCACTAAGATGTATTAATATGCCAATTGAATTTTTTTGGACTAGAGCTTGTTTATCGGACAGTTATAATAAGAAATGCATATAGAGAGCTGGGATACGGAAACATGTATCTGTTATGACTATTCTGAGTCAGATTTGCGAAGATACAGTATACGGTTTGAACCCCTGAATTAAGCAGATTGCTGTATAATATTAGTGTTGAGCTGCAGGGTCATGAATACAGCATGGCTAATGAATTGAAAGATATCTTGATACTTTCATTTAGAAATTTCTTATATGCTTCTCTTAGCCTTTGTTTGCTAATGATTAATGGCACCATACTCACTGATCTGGAGCTATCTGCTATTTTTGCAGAGGCTATATGGCTCCTGAATACGCAATGAGAGGTTACTTGACAGACAAAGCAGATGTTTACAGCTTTGGTATTGTTGCCTTAGAAATTGTCAGTGGAAAGAGCAACACAAATTACAGGCCAAAGGAGGAGTTCGTGTATCTTCTTGATGGGGTAAGCTTTATCCATTATATTCAGTGATCTTTTGAAGATTAAGCATTCACAATTTCTTCAGTATGAACAAAAATTTTGTGTTCTAAGTGATTAAATATTTTTTTAATGGTTTTCAGTAGAGACCTTCAAAATTTTTGTGTTCTAAGTGCATGTTAGCTTTGCAATTTTCACTTGGAATAGTTCAAGAGGTGGTAAATGTCTTTGTTTCTCTACATGTAATTCAAGGCCTATGTCCTACAAGAGCAAGGAAACATGCTAGAACTCGTGGATCCAAGTCTTGGTTCAAACTACTCTAAAGAGGAGGCCATGACAATGCTTAACTTGGCGCTCTTATGCTGCAACCCATCTCCCACTCTCAGACCACCCATGTCTTCTGTAGTAAGTATGCTCGAAGGCAAAAGTCCAGTTCAAGCACCAACAATCAAGCGCGGTTCAGCCGAACAGGATGCAAAGTTCAAAGCCTTTGAGAGGCTATCACAAGACAGCCAAACACACATTTCCACGTTCTCTCAAGATAGTCATGTACGAGGCGCATCAATGGAGGGTCCATGGGTGGATTCCTCGGTTTCTCTTGCGAGTAAGGATGAGACCATGGAACATTCTTCGTCAAACAAGCTACTCAAGGATATGTATGATGTAAATTTACAGTGATGAAAAGCTGACGAAATAAAGCTTTTCAAATTCTTTTACTAAATTATATTGAATTTAGTCCAGAGAATTTTTTTTTAAAGGGGTTAGTGGAAAATTTGTACTAGGAGAGTAGGAGACATGTTTCTGAAAGTATTGAACAAGAGTTAATGTGTAAATTATGTTCCTCCAACTGTACCCGCATTTATAGTCTTTTTGGTTCTGTAAGTCTTAAAATATCAACAAATTAAACACTTTGCCTCATATGATCGAAGTCATATATATATATATATATATATATATATATATATACACACATATATATTTGTGAAAGCTGAGGATGCTATGTATTTTAGACCTTCTTTCTCCGAATGGGTGCATATTGCTTCACAAATACAGCCACAAAAGTTACACCCTAGATGAGATATTTAAACATGAAAGCATTGAGGTGATGATGAGTGAAGCAATTGATTGAGGAAGGTGAGATGAGAATGCAGCTATGCTTCTTGATGTTTACCTCAATTTCCTATACAAAAAAGTAAAATCTTTTTGTTTTTGCAAGTCTAAAATATCAACAAATTTAACACTTTACATCAGTTTGAGATCCAACTTTCAAGATTTGCTTTGATGTATGTTCCATTACTCCATTGATGAAAAATAAAAGGGTTTTTAGGTTTAATGGTCCCTGAACTTTGACTCGATTCACATTTTTGTCATTTAATTTCCAAAATCATTCCTGTGGTCCTTCAACTTCAGTTTCGTTAGGACAAATGGTCCTGCTGTCAATTTTGTTATATTTTCTGTTAAATGCAGAGGCAAAATGGTATTTTTGTATTATTTTTAATTTCCACCTTTTGAATATTACTTTCCCCCAAAAAATAAAAAATAAAAAACTAAAAAATCTTCTTCCTATCCTCACCATAGTAGCCATAACCCCTCGGCCATGTTGTTTGACTGAGGATAGGAAGAAGGTTTTTTAGTTTTTATTTTTTGGGTGAAAGTAATATTCAAAATGTGGAAATTAAAAATAATACAAAAATGTCATTTTGACTTTGCATTTAACAGAAAAGGTTAACAAAATTGACAGTAAAACCCTTTGTCCTAACGAAATTGAAGTGAATGACCACGGAAATAATTTTGAAAATTGAGAGACTAAAATGCGAATCGGGTCAAAGTTCAAATACCATTAGCCCTAAAAACTCAAAATAAAATTTGGAGATTGCTAATTTAGCTAGTTGGGCATACACCTGGGTAAGTGTGCCGGTAAACAAGTGTAGTGTTGAAGTGTGTCACGCTGCAACTTTATCTTTGCAGAATTAGACCCCAAAAGCTCTTCCTACCGGTTGTTGCACCATCCAATCTGAACCGCCGACTTGTTTTTAGCATCCCGAGGAATAACAGTTAGTGCCAAATCATCATTTCCTGCCTATAAATTGTCCATCCTACAGTTAAATTGGTTGCAGTCCTTTTCACTCACCAGTGCCTCTGCCTTGTTGTAATCTTTTCTTCCAATTCATCCCCATGGAAGAGCCAAGAATTCTTCAAGCTGAACTTGCTGATAATGGTGATCATGGGTTCTCACAGACCCAGGATGGTTTTTGGGGGTTTGACCCGAATGTGATGTGGAACCACAAAGATTGTTCAATATGTTGAAATGTTCTATTCTCAAATTGGCTCTAGATGGGGCCTGACAAGGTGATCAAGGACCGGAGAACACCGAAAACTATCCTTTTTTATGCGAATCTTGCTCGGGGTTAGCTAAGTGAAAATGGAGAAGTAAGGAGTTTTAGTTTGGATTCAAGTGACAACAATGGAATTGAAGAAAGAAGATATGAAGCTGAAAGTCCTTGGCCAGAAAATTAAAGGGTATGCAGAAAATCTGGTAATCCATTTCCTTCGCTTCACACAGATGACAGGTATGCAAGGATTTTGCTAACTCTCTATTAGGAAGCTATAATCCATTTCCTTTGAACATTTTGGCCTTCATTGTGGTGTTTCTGATGAAAATCACAGGATTTCAACTGAGTCTAATGGGCGGCCTCTTCACTTTTCCAATTCGGTTATCCTATTTTTCCTTCATGCTCTTGTTGTTTCCATTTCGAACTCTTGAGGCTCATTAGAGGGTATTTGATGAAAAAACTGCTGAGAATGTGGAGTGTCACATCTACAAATGTCACTTTAGCTGTATCTGAGCGCTTGCAAGCCCAAAGTCACTTGCAGTGAAAGTAGGTTTGGCCTTCTTCAGGTAAATCTATGTTTGTTCCATGCCTTTTGGAATTCTGGCATCTGGGTTTGTACTGAGTGGATTTGTTATGAAACACCTAGTTCAGAACTCAATTAAGACCACAGAGACCCTGAACTCTGATTACACCAAATCAAGTCCTGTAGCTTTTGTTCCCCTCATGTCGTCTTCAGGTGCCCATGGTGACCGTGTTATACCTTATAATCACAAACTGCAGCTTGCTGTTTCATTGACCATGCCTGAATCCGAATACAATCACAAACTAGGTGTCTTTCAGGTATGATATTTGATCAACCTTGAGCTTCCGTTAAAATATGTATAGCCAATATTGCAATGCTTATGTCTCATTTTTTACCTAATTGCAAATGCATTATTATGACTTTACCATTTCTTGTGCATCAAGGTAAGGGTACAGTTCTTGTCAGCAAATGGTATTGTCACTGCTAGTTCAAGCTATCCCTGCATGCTGCGATTCAAAAGAGGGCCAATTCGTGTCATCGAAACCTTTCTTAGAAGTGCTCCTCTTATTGCTGGTTTACAATCAGAAACCCAAGTTCTGGACATAAAAATGAGTGATCACATTGAAGGACTTGGGCCAACTGCCTGCTTGAAGGTGATACTAGAACAAAGAGCAGAGTTCCAATCTGTTGCAGGCATACCTCAAATATATGCTGGATCATTAGTGCTTCAATCTGAGATTCCTCAGCTGAGAAGGTTTGTATGGTGTTGGAGGAGAACAATATTTGTGTGGACAACATTATGTCATTCTTGACAGTGTTGGTGTTTATCCTAGCCTTTTTTAGAGCCATAACTGCCCCAAGGGGAAGACCCAAAATTGGTTTAAAAAGCCAATCACTCAAACGTCATCTTCTGGCAGAAAAGCAGCCTAGTGTTTCCATGGAAGATTACGAGGATATAGCAGCTAAGTGTTTCTAAATATGTACCATTAATTACAATGGAAATGCACGCATGAATAAGTGTTCTGAATTCTGTCTCATTTTTTATTTTATCAAACTTTTTGAATGACATTAATCATTGCCCAACCTAAGATACTGACTTGGGAATTACCTTGCGAAAAAGAAAATAACACTAAAAAATGGGAAACTCCGTCAAAGATTATTAGGAAATGGAAAACTCGAACTCAAGAGTTCAAATGTAGTGAGTAAATAGTTCCTAACTCGAACTCAGATTAATTATCTTGCAATTTAATGAATACTTCAGTTCATTACTTTATTGAATATTTCAATTCATCTTTCTGGTACGAAGGCATATTTGAAGACACCCATAATGAAAAGAATATTTTCTTTAGAAGGCCAGAATTTTAAATTTGTAAAAATTACATGCAAAGAAAAAAATTATACAGTAAAGATTACAAAAGAAAATAAGCAGCTGGTCAGAAAAGAAAGGAAAAAAATAAGCGCTCCCAAATACAGGAAAAACAGGGAACATTTGTATAATTAGCAGAACATTTCACATATTCACATGTGGTATTGTATTTCAGAGCTTGAGATTATATACACTTGCATTTGCAGACTATGGAGCCAAAACAATCAAAACTCAAGGACATTGTTTAACTGAACAGAGAAGGAAGGTCGATCAACATTGGTAAGCGGGGTATCCACTCTAAAAACTAGCCCCGAGTTCCCAACATTTCCATTCCACTTGGATCTGCCTACCTGAACATGCCAGACCACATAAAGAAGAAGAAGACAGTAAGAAACAAAAAATCCTAGAACCTCCTAATAACTTTTGTTTTTTACTTGAAAATCATGAAAAAAATTTATTTGAGATGTTTACATGAAAATAAAAACTTCAGTATAGCAAAGGCCACAAAGCTTGTTCTAGATATTGTGACAAACGAGCCCAGAGACCTATAGGTAAAGGCTGAAAATTATAAAATATACACTGGTGCCAGTAATAACTTACAGATATTGAAGCAAACACAGAAGGATGTGGTGTGAATGCACAACCACATATCAGGTTGAGCTCCTCCTTCACTGAGTGAATGAGTTCTGCCCGCAAACCAGGATTGCTTCCACCAAAAGTGGGGCATAAACTGACCATTGTAAAATTTCATGAAACATGTCAACACCAAGTATGATGACTGTTGAAGCACTGGAAGGATGTGCATGTACTACTTGACCCAGTTACAAGATGCCAATACAATTGATGTGCACAAGCTCAACAGGGATGTAAGAAAGTAATTATAACATGCTGATTTAAAATATTCACACATTGCATTAAAAGTGCAACAGGGACCTTAAAATATTATGGGGTAAAAGAATTGTGATCACTAAAAAATTTGACTTTGGAGAGACTGCTGAATACCAATTTAACCTCATCTATTCCTCCAATGCTGAACATATGCATATATCACCTGTGTAATCTATGAAATATCACTAAATTACTCTCGTTAGCCCCAATTCAACTTGAGAATATGCTTTGGCCCAACCAACCCACCCATAAAATCATAGAACAAAAGGAACATACCTCCTAGGACCAATCAGTGGCCTCAAAGACTGACTCCTCCAGACCTCCTAGCCCTCTTAGGAAAAAATTTTACATTTGTGTTTTTCTTTTTTTGTTTTCTCCTTCTTTTTTTGGCGCAGCTTTTTATTTGTGAGACAAAGTGTGCAGAGACCAGAAGCATATGGTAGTACCATGTTAACATTATATTAAAATAAGATTCAGAACATTAACAGTTACATTCATTTCACTGCAACATTTTAGAGACAAGTCTAAACAACCAATGATGGAAAGACAATAATGTACAGCTTTACTAATAGAGAGACGGCAAAAAAACCTAACCTGAACTGAATTGTAGGCCTCACCATGAGACCAGATCTCTGCCAAGCCAAGGCTTGTGAAAGACCCAGTGTAAAAGACTTGTCTGGCCATTGTATCATTGGGGTGATGCGTGTTCCCCACTTATTCTGAGAAACATTTAAACTATCTTAATTCTTTTAAAGCAAGAAGACTAACTAATGAGAATACCAATGTGTATAAGACCATTCTGGTATAAAATGAGAACACTACTACAATGATTTGTTAAAGAAGATTACTAGTTTGCAATCTAACCTTGCGAGAGAAACTGAATCTCATTTCTCCAGGATATTGACCTTGAGCTTGTAGAAGGCCTCCACACAGAGGTAAGAAAGCACTTGTAGAAAGCCCTTCACCAGATACAAATGTAAATTGCCCGTTTGGAAACTGTAAATCAACAAATGACTGCAGAGAGAGAGAGAGCGTATGAGAATCAACCCCAAAAACCGAATAATAGTGCTGACACTGAAAAACAAATATACGAAGACACAGAAATCAACTTACACAGGCTAATGGATTCAGGCAGACCATTGACATTAAGAGCCACCTTCTGTGTTTTGACCACACGGCCGGACAAAGGGAATGCATCCCATTCTAAAAATTAAAACAAATGTGCATATGAGAACACAGCAAGGAAAGAATCAAGCTGCTATACATGACATAGACCTACCATGACAACAACACTAAGGATAAAAAAAGAAGTGAAAAAATCACCAAAATAAATCATAAAAAGCATCCGAAGGATAAGAAATCATCAACAGAATGGAACTAGTAGCTAAGCATGATCGACTTTAATGTACTATTTGAAAGACCTAATTGTCTTAAATTTTTGGAAATATTAAGTGCTGCCAAGGATTGATGTAGCTGTTTCATTAGGGTGCATTGTCATTTTGTTGGTGAAAATAAGCACAGGGCATTAGATGTTGCATTTTTATATCTTTTGTAGTTCCCTTGGTTCGAGTATAAGTGTCCGGCTTTCTAAGAAACTAAACATTCCTTAATATTGAGGAGCAAACAATTAAGAAGTCACTTCGTGTGCTCTTTTAAGAGACTACCAGATTCGATCCTTCTCTATTGTAGAACCAATCTGGCAGGTTGGATGGTAATGGCTGGGCTTTTGAAGGAACTAAAAGTTCTCTTAAGGTTTTGATTGGCAATTGTTGAAAACCAGTTTGATTAGTCCCACCACATAGTCCATGCAATTTGTCTCTCTCTTGTAGACTTTTTTATTGACTTACATGGTTTTCTCTTCTACAGTACTTCTGGTGCATTTGGATGCTGTCCCTCTGGTCCCTTCTAATGAGACTTTCACTTATAAAAGAAACAATTACGTAAAAGACTATTCCTTTCTTATGCTGTTACTGATGCATTTAAAAAAATGATGCATGGAAACAATCAAGTATAAATGCAAGGTAGAAAAGCTATTCCAAACAGTCAAGTTTGCGGATCATACGATTTTGGGGAAAAAAAAGAGAAGTAGAGCACAACTCAAACATAAAACAAACTTTAATGCTAATTCTAGATAGATAGTATTCATATTCATGTTTATGATTATGTTTGATAAAGAACTGGTTGTCACGTAACAGAAAACCATTAGTCAAATGAATTTAATCATACCTTCCTATCATAGCCATACCAAAGCAAGTGTTGCTTTGACAAATGCACCGGAAGAAGAAGTGTCGCATCACGAACAAAGAGTACAGGCCCAAGCTGGACAAGGAAGAGTGATGAATTGTCATTTCTAGATGTGGAACTGCCACTCGAAGCCTCTACTCTCCATAGATCTCCCCTTGCAAGGAAAGAACTTTCTAGCTGACGTGTTCTACTATCATAAGTTGTTGAGGTATTTATGCTCCCCTGCACTCCATAAGAATGACAAATTAAAAAATGCACATGTAGAAGTTTCAGGTGCTCTTTAGACCTTGCCTATGATAAAAGTTTGACAAGCATCACCCAATCCAAAAAAAAATTGCAGCCTGTTATTGCAGCAATAACAAAATTGACAAACATATACAAATTTCAGGCACTCCTTTTTATCTCTGCTTGAAATTTGACGACAGAATAACGAGACAAACATCTAAAATTCCAGAAAATGCAGCTAATTGTTTGAGGAGTAAGTGATAACAACAAAGATGATGATCATAATCATACATATGATAACAACAATAATAACAAAATGAAAATGCTAAGATGAAAAACTTACCAGTGGTCTACCCAGAAGGCCAGCGGACCTTAGATTCAAGCCAGCAAGTTCTTCATCCACCAAACCATCAGAGACACCATCACTCTCCACAACCCTGAAATCCTTTGAGCGTTCCTTCAATGGCCCCAAATCCTCCTTACCACTCAAACTCGCATCTGCTCTCTGCCTAACCTTATCCGAATCAATTCGAACAGCCACTATAGCAGCATTTTCATCATGCCTAAACGGTACCGGTAAGGTCCTAAAGAACTGTTGAACCATCCCATTCAAGCACGCCCCGAAATCCGCCCCGACTTGCCCGATCCTGTTACCGATATTGAGAATCGCGGAAACCCCATTAATCCCGGAGTTCTCGGCCACCAACCCAACAAAGTCTCTCTTGCCGAAACTCTGGTTCGGGAACTCGAGATCGAAGAGCTTCGACGTGTTAGGGTTAGGCCAAGCGAACGACGGCGTACTGATGTGGGACTGAATCAAACCCGTGAAGCCCTGCGCAAGGCGGTCCGCTAAGTCCTGGCCATGGCGCTGAACCTCCTCCCAAGCTTCGAAGGGCCTCTCCACAGACATTTCAGCAAAAGTTGAAAGCTTTTTGTGTTGTTCCTCTGAAACAGTCACAAGTTCTTCATGGCCCAGAAACAGTGAGATTAGGATTTTGATTTGAGCTTCTAATAATGGAAAACCAGAGCTTTCTTGAGTTTTGATAACAATTTCAAGCTTGAAATTTGAGATTTCGAGCTTAGAGTTTTCAATCTTAAATCGTAAAATAAAAATCCCAACCTGTTTGAGATTTGTAATGGAAAAAACAAATCTTTTCGCGCTTCTGATGATGTCAACCAGACCCAAAACCGTGAAATTACAATTCCGAGCTTGAAAATCAAAGCTTTCGAGCTTTTAGGGTTTTCTGTCAAAAAAATCCTGATTTTGAAAAGAGAAAACGATGTTTGTGAAGGGGGAAATTCGAACTTGAATCTTCTATAAGCTCTAAAGAATCAACTAAATATAAAATGAAAGGGCAGGGCCATTAGGGTTTTTGATTTGGGAATCGCAAGTTACCAAGTAAGTGTGGAGTAGTAGGAAATAAAAAGGGGATTGGTGGCCTGAAAATGGCGCAGGGTGCGTAGTGCGCACATAGCTTCCGTTGATGCCACGCAAGCGGCAAAAGGATGTGTCATTTGTGTTGTGGGGGATGTGTGGAGTTGAGGATAGAGGAGGGAATGTTGGTCCCCACGTTGGTGGATGTAGAGGCCGTCACTGACCAATGACAAATTTAATAAAGATTTGAAATTTTAAAATTTAAAATATATGTCGAACCTTTGTTAAGGTTGAACATTTGTTTGGGAAAAAGTTTTGTTCCGAAAATGTTATGGGTATCACATTTACTAAAAGTATTGTGTACCATATTATGAATTTTGTTTTTATTAGAAAAGTGGTATATAAATGCGATTTTTTAAATATTTTTCGTTTGAGAAGTGTAATGATTTTCTTTCAAGTAGAAAGCTTGAGAAGTGTATGAAACATGTTACACATAAGTTTTCTTCTATTCGCGAGGGTTATTGGTAGAAATATTAATGCTGTTGTGTTGCCGCAGATTTGATGCATGCAGACAGTTTCACTGCGTCGCTTAATATGGCCAGTGCATTCTTTGGCAAGTATGCCTTGAGGATTTGAGACCAAGTTTTAAAAAGTACATGAGAATTTGCCAGACCATGAACTTTGGATGGGGTCTCAATTTGTCTCTCTGTTTTTTTTTTCTCAACAAAAGCCCTTTCCTACCAAATCAGATGTCCTCATCATGGTGAACTTTCCCAAAACCCCAAGGGCTTTCTTTGGTCAAAAGATAACAAAATGAAGATATTCAAAGCGACAAATCTCTGTGCGGTCATTCCAATATCTTTGATTCTCAGTGGCAAACAGACAAATTCTCATAATGAATAAAACTGTAGAGTACTTTTTTTTTTTTTTTTTTTTTTTTTTTTTCCTTTTTTTTCCTATTTTATAATAACAAATTGTCATACAGAAAACATGCCAAACACATACCAATAATGTCAAAGAATGTACAAAAGCCAATGGTAAAGAGAAGAGACACTCTATAATCTATTCACTCGTTGGAAAAGGTTTGACCATTTTGAGCAGCTATTAAGCCCAATTCAATCCCCTTCGACCATTGAGCCATACCACTCCTTTCCAGTGAAATTTAGGTAATGAGAGACAATGACGAAATGGTTGTGAAAACTATCCCACTCCTTGAAATAACTAACTAAATAGGACTAAAAACTAGAAAGAAACAATCTAAAAAATAAATGAAAGGGAGCTACCAGTTGTGCTCACCTTGATTCCTTTTCCTTTATCTGGCATTGCAGAAACAAGGAATCAGAGTTAGTTTGATGACAAGTGATCGGTCACTTTGCGCAATCCTCTACCTGTAAATAATATGGTTCAAGTGAGCAAACAAATAATCCATTTGATCTAGCAAATCAAATGTACAGACCAACAGACCTGGTTCTTGAGCTCCCAAGAGTGAGCTCCAGATCATCTGATCCACACTCTTCGTGAATCCTCTCTCCTTCCCATGGCTTAACCAGCCCTGCTGTGTTGCATCCAAATGCAAACTCATCAGAAATCACCTCGGACATTGGAATGTCTGCAGTGTGATCAGAGCCGGCTGCAATGGCAGGAGAGCATGTCCCGCTTTGCCCCGGAGTCCACATGCGAGATCCACCACCAGCTAAAGCCTCATCCTTAAACCCAAATGGGTTCAAAGCGACAAGGCTAAATGTTGGAGAAGTTGGTCCATGGGGGATCCGAAGCCCAGCAAACCATTCTGGATCAGGAACAATCTGCCGTCCAGGGCTTGGTGGAGTAGAAGATGGCAGGAAGGGGTATTGCTGCCCGCCCCACCCTGGGCGAGCAGACTGGTCATCCCAGTCAGTTTTCATTCGGGGTGTTCTGGCAGTTGGGGAGCTTAATGGAGGGGTAACAGGAGCACTGATAGAGCCACCATGGATGTGGAGATTCGGTAGTTTAGAAGAGGAGGCTGAAGAGGATCCAGATGAGAGGTTTTTGAGCCATGGGATAAGGGACCTGCCATCGGCATTCTGATTAGCAGCATAGGAAGACGATGCCGGGCTTGGGAAGGAAGAAGAGCCTGGGCTTGGATTGTAGGAAGCACAAGTACTTGGGTGGCAAGACGAGCAAGGGCTAGCTAGTGTTGATCCACCCACCACGTCCATGCATTCAGCAGGCTTGCATCCCTGCACACATTTGAAGATGATAAGTTGCACATAACAAAAAACAAAAATAGATAATGAGGTTCAAGAGTAATTGCATAAAGCCATAGTCAGAGGTTCATTAAGAACAAATTAGGCTGATAACAAAGCAAATACAGAAGAACCCTCATCTGTTTCAGCCTTAAATGTATGTCCATATTCATAAGAAAATGCATATACATATATATCTGTTGCTTGTGTTTCACCTAGTATAACAATAAATTGCTCTGTCACGTAGTTATTTTCCCATTCTTCAGGGTCATATCAAGGTGCCAGCTTGGGCGCTAGCACCTACAGGCTACAGTTTTCTTTTAGGGAGAAAAGGAATATATCACTGAATCAAGTAATGATATCATATGCAGGGATAAAAGTCATAAGACACATTCCCAGTTGGTGGCAACCTTCATTTCTCTTACAATACCGTGAGGACACCTAAGCAAAGTGGTGTCCTAAAAATTTCAGGTATAACAGTCAACTATACCATTATCAGATCACTCTGAGTTGCCTGCCATATTTACTTTACTTCCCAAGCGATGTAAAATCCAAAGCAACCATGATGCCTTCTAGAAACAATGTACCAGCAACATCCTATGATGCAGAAGGCAGATGTGGAGGCATGAATCTAAAATTGAATTAATCAAGGGGAAAAATTGACCCCAAGTTGCTGACTTAACACCACTACCATGACTTGAATCCAAACCATAGTGGGAAAATTTCAACACCTAACCAGTGTTGCCTCCAGGGGACCATTTCAATTAACCAACATTTTCGATGGTATGGTGACTGAACTCAATTACACATGTAAGGTGCAATTATATGTACACACCAAATTACTCTGTATAGGCATTTCGTTTCGTTTCGTTTCTGTTGGAACTCTTGCTATTACCGTAACACCAAACGAAAAATAGTAGCTGGATTTATAAGCAATTTTGTTTAAGATAATAGAAAGCTTTTATTAAATGTAGAGGAATTAACAAAGGATGTATAGTTGTAATGTACCATATAAAAACAAACAATGTGACTATGACTCTAAAAAGAGAAAGTTATTAACTTTTAATAACTGTGAGTTATGAACTTTTAATAACTGTGAGTTATGAACTTGCGATAAGAAACGAAATCTAAAAAATGGAAAACTGAGCACAACCCAGAAAAGGCTCTGCCTGTGTTCTCCTAAACAAAGTAAAAGGTTACTAACCAAATCTATCAACACAGAAAAAGAGATCAGAGTTCACTAAAATGGCACACAAGTACCCCTCAAAAGCCTCGAATTTCCACACCCAAGTGGGTATTTTAGGCCGCAAATTTTGAAAAAGAAGAATTAAAAGGGTATCTTCGTCGCCTCGAGATCTACGTAGGTACAGGGGTTGCAGATTAACAGAGTCATCGGGAGCCAAAGAAATCATAGAGAGAATCTAGTGCTTCTCTAGTGCTTCACGCGGAAAAGCGATCATACAAAGAAAGCAAAAGTAAAAGAAAGAAAGAAGAGCTAAAGGCTTAAAGCCAACAAACAAAATAACAGAGCTGACTAGATCTAACGTACACCGGTGACCGAATCTAACCCCACTGATTGTTTACTCCGGCTAATGTGCGCCAGTAATACCAGCGCATCTTAGCAAAACAGGCCGTTTTGCTTCGACTCCAGACAGCGCCCCGGCCAGCGTGGGCCGCCGCATCCGGCGTACGTTAGATACTTCTGCTAAAATGCGCCACTAAGGCAGCATGATCAAAATTCCTAACCAACCCTTGTTATCGTGCACCGCTCGTCCAGCGCATGTTAGCACTCCCGCTAACTGCGCCGTCCGCCGGAGCTAAAAGCCTAACGATAACTACTGTTCGAATTCGGCCATCTGTTTAAGTTTGTCTAAGAATCAATCAACCGCGGTAAAAATTTATCAGAAGAAAAGATATTGATGGTGTATACTGCTAATGAACAATTTAACAACGGTAAAATAAGAAATCGAGTTTTATTTTCTCCTTTTTTACCTTGCGGTAAGTGGTGCCGTCCGGTTCGACGGTCCAACCGGCCTCGTCGCAGAGAGCTTTGAGGACCTCATTATTGTCGCAGTGCTTGGGGAGCTTGTAGTTCCCGTACATTCTCAGACCGGCGAAGATCTTCGCCGCTATGGCTCTTCGCCTTCTCTCTCTTCTCTTGTTGTTCTCTCTCTCCTTCCACGTCGGCATACGCGTCCCGTACGTCATCTCCGATCAGTCTCTCGTCTCTGGACCGCCGCCCGCACAGCAACGACGCCGTTACGCGGAGAATGAGAGCTGAGAGCTGAGATGAAAGTACGTGAATTTGGAGCCTTCGGAACCTGAGAGGAGCTCCGGCGCGGACGATACGTTTGGGGGAAGAATTGGAGTGAATTCGACTCGGCCGGAGATTTGAATTTCGTGGAGGATCACTGAATCGGATCGGATCTTTGTGTGATCAGGTCGGGTTAGGAGGCTGACGGGAAAGCGGTGTCGAAATCGGCAGGGGAGAAGCTGTGTGTTTCTTACTTTTGATGAAACCCCGGGAAAATGAGAAGTGAAAGCAGCATGAATATGTGTGGGGTTTGTATAAACGAGAGAATTTTGGGGAGAACTTGTATTTGGTCCTATTTAATTGTTATTTTACGACCCTGCCATTATTGCTCTCAGACAGAGAGAAAGGGAGGGAAGGAGGAGGGTATTTGGCTTTTTGGTCCATGCATTAGTTGAAAAAGAAAAAGAAACGCAAAAAGGAAATATGGAAATGTACACATTTTTTCATTGGCCAAATATTCTGAAATTGAAGGTAATTTTTTACAATGGGACCCCTTTTATCTGAGGAGTGAAAAAAATGGGGCCCTTTAATAATTTATTGGCTTATTGTCTTTAATTTTGTTTAAGTTGTGTACAAAAATGATAGAGATAGAACGTGATAGTAGAACAACAATATTATTGTCAAAGTTCAAATTCGTTAGCAGACAATTTGGATTATTGAAATATAATGTCGAGTGTTCTAGGATAACGATACCTATGCTCTTGTTTCACTTACGTACACTCCAAATCGAACATTTTTAAAATTCTTTTATGCATTCACAAAAGAAGCTCAAGAGGTTAAAAAAATAAGTGTCAATGTGATTAGGGTACAAAACAAGCATCGGATCGGAGGTTAACACTTGGCACCTGCATGCACATGGCACTTCTCATACATGACAATTACGTCGACCCCAAAACGATGACGTTATAGGAGCGTTACCTTCCGAGAAAGAAAAAAAAAAACCGATTACGCGTTACAGGAGATGAACCTAATTTTACAACCGTCTCTGTGACAAACGCTGCATCGCTCGACACGTGTCCAGGCTCTGCTGCTCCGGTCCCATAACCGTCTCTGTCTACGACAGTAAACCCATTCGTCGTTTTTGTATTCATTATTTTTCGTTTTCAAATGAGCATATAATCTTGCACGTGTCAGAGTCCGGCTCACGTGTCAGGATCTGGGACCAGCCTCTGAGTATGCGTCATGAGAGGACAGCACTTTCACGTGGCCCCACGCCAACAACCCCACCCTGAGGGCCCCACTCTGTAACGGAGCACGTGTAAAAATCAAGCTAAGAGACCAGTCAGCGCTCTTCCTTCCTAGTGTTCTTTTTCTTAAATTAATTTGTATTAATTAATTAATCTTATAAGTCTTTGTTGACAAACATTACTACGTCAAATAACAATTTCGTTTAGTTGTATTGAATTTCAGCTTTTTGGTTGCTAAATTAAGGAAAAATAACCAGCAATTCTACTCTCCAAAATAAGGAGGCTTGACAGTTGACTTCAAATTCAATTCACTGAGAACATGTTCGGTACTTAAGATTGGATTAGATTGTCTAACTCACAAAATTCAAAGTACGAGACGATGAGAAATAGATAAATTATAAGGTTTTGTTGAAATTGGAAACGATAAACTACTTACGTCACTAATCCATTTCTTCTTTTAATATGCTCGGAATATAACGAGTTATTTAATCTAATCCAATCTAATCAAAATCACAAATTAGGCCTCAACACATGATTGTCGGCCTAACACGATTATTTACTTGCATAACCACGACATACGAAGCCCTCCACAAGTCCAAATCATTCATTCAGAGATTACATTTGATAATGATAAAACTTGCCGACCACTCGATTACCCCACTTATTAAATCCAGCATTTTGACTTGCCAAAGAGTAGTTACGGGACAAAGTCAACCGCCCCCCAATATGTAATGCTTAATCAAATCAACATTTGGACACAGAGTTTGAAACAATCTTATTGAAATGCATTATGACATCAGAGAGATTCAGATAATCAGAATGTTTGATCTTATACACTCAAATTTGTCAGACGGCCTAAATTAATATACTCATCATTCATTCATGCATCTCATAGGGGAAATGCTGATCCTGGAATTTGGTCTCTAAACATTTTTAAAAGGGTAAATTACTCAAATGGTCCTTAAATTTATACTCGATTTACATTTTGGTCCATCAATTAAATTATTCGTTCAAATGGTCCATCAACTTTATATTAATCGCTCCAAAGAGCCTACCGTTACATTATGTTAATGTTGCCGTCAAATGTAAGGGTAAAACCGTTCATAACCGTCCTATGTTCCCCAAATAGGTGATAAAGTGGTGATACATAAGTGATAAAGTGATGATATATAGGTCAAAAGTCTTATTTACCCCCACAAATGTAGCATGTGCTGCTCACATAACTAAGTTTAACAGAAAATATAACAGTAGGACCAAAGCGCCTATTAATAAAGAGTTGGTGGACCATTTGAACGAATAATTTAGTTTAGGGACCAAAATGTAAATCGGATACAAATTTAAGGACCATTTGAGTAATTTACCCTTTTTAAAATATAATACCTAAGACAGTCTAGCGCTCAAGAGAACTCAACTGCTGTTTCTGGAACAGAATATATGGTCGGTGAGATACGAGATTCCAGGACGCACTGGTGACCAGAGGAAGCAAGCAAGAACTTAGATGAAACTAAATTCATAAAACCAGTAAAAATGCATGCAATGTAACGTGTGCAAGCAAACCCAAATGTAAGACTGAAGGTGGTATACAAAATCTGTCGAGGGATTTAAGAATGTGTTAAGGATTTATGGTTCATCCAAGATAACAGTTTCACATTAATATGGGGAAAGTCACCTTGGAGATATGCATTATTCTTGGCATCAGGTGGAGCATTGATCAAGACAAGGATATAGAATATGAAGCACCACATAGTTTCTTTAATCGAATTCCAGGACCTGTGCAAACCCGCTACGGAGGGTGAAAACTTCACCCAAATTGGGTTGGATTATTTCAGATCCCCCACATGTGCACCCTATATAAAAGGAACAAGGTTCAGAAGAAAAGGGGTCTAAATTGGAACCAAAAAACGCAATGACCGAAAATAATAAGCCTCAACCTACCTCGAACAATGTCGTGCAAATAGTAAATTTGCCTCATGAAGTGGTTTTACTTAGCCTCAACACCTCCTTGAGCAATCGACTAACAGAAGACTTTACTTCATCAGACACAACCAGCTGTGGAGGCACAGCATCCAGAGCATATAAAGTGATAGTATTCATAACATCAGCCAGATCCAAATTCTTGGCGCCTCTATTCCACACATTCTTATTCACAAAGTTGCATGATTGTTTTAAGACACATTTGCTACAAACCTGAAGGTGACCAAAAACACAAAACAATAAATTTATACAATATTTAAATTTATTGAGTGAAATGAAGTCAGTGTGAGAGAGAAAAACTAATAGGACAATTGACTCACAGTATGTTCTTGAATATCAAAAAATTTACGCAATCTTTTAGCACCGAAAACACTCTTTCTTGCAAGGGAAGGGCAACCAACAAGGGCCACCTTTTTCAAGTCAGAGCCTGACAACCATCTGAAAAACAAAATTTCAAGAGCAGATGGAGATTACTGATTAAGAGACTATCAAATTAAGAGAAATACCAACAACAAAAAATGAAAAACACTACACATTCAAAAAATAAATCAACTTGATGAAACCATGAAACCATGAACTCATAAACTTGAATCCATAAAACTCAAATGTAAATCTTGAAGTTTAACGCAGGATGTCAGATTGTCTAAATGGTTCCTGTACTTCTTAGGGCTGCTGGAATGGTGCATGTAGGCAAACGAAAAGATTGTTTGAAATCATCTTTTATATTCTTCCTCCACTGTACGATTTCTCAACTCAATCATCAAGCAGTACCAAATTAGTCTCACTAAAGACAATCTGGTGAAGATTAGACATTTTATGTAAAGTGTAGTCCTAAATTGGTAGTGAAATCACATAATTTGTGGTTTCTCCCAGTCAATGTGCTAGAAGATATAGCTCCATATTGATCCCAACATACTCACATCATGGAGTACACTTTCATACTCATAGTACAGCCAACTGAATGCCAATCATGAACCCGTGGACTTCTAAAGAATTAGCATAGCTTCCTTGGCAAAAAAGTAGAACATTGACATAAGCCTTTTCAAACGTATGTGGATCAAAACAACGAATAGTATTTGTGCCAGCTCCATGTTTCATTCATGCAATTTTCCCCCTCAAAGAAAAAAGAAAACACAGCTCCTCTGCTAGTGAAGCAGTGGCCAACACAATAAGTCCCAGCATTGCCCATCCAACTAATAACAGTGTATAAGTTACATATCCTTTGGAAAATTGAAAACTAAGAAGTGCAATAATGAGAAATGATGGAAATCCCCATAAGCTCAGCTCCGTGGCTAAAAATATCCCGTTATAAATTGTGTCATTCTCTACTCTCTTTATAATTTACATATTAAAATGTTTAAAGCTTCAACCGGAAAGATTCAGAAACACAAGCCTTCACTCATAGAGACAACTGGGACAATTGATTGCATTTGCATCATATGAGATGAATGCTACATTACCAGAAAACAGGGAAAAGAAAACCAATTTACCAGGAATTGAAAGAAACATTGGACAATAACTATAAAATGTAGACCTTCATAATCACTTCTTTTTCCTCCAACATGAAAACACACAGAAGAAAATGGAGCTAAGAAATAAATCTAAAAAAGAATGGAATTAAAAACAGAATCATATAAAAATGCTTACTTTGCAATCACTTGGTTGTCTTTGGCAAACCTCTCCACCGCAAACTTTACAAAACTGCGGCCATAGCTATTGTTAAAGCAACTAAAATCCAACCTACCATCATTCACAGACAAGAAATTGGCATCTTTAAAGTACCCTTCTTTGTACAAATGGCTCACAACCACTTCCATATCCTGCGACAAAGCCTTAAACGCATTTGATCTCTCTCTTGTCAACTCTTTCCACTTCCTTTCATCCCCCGCCGCCGCCTTGTTTGTGAACACTTCGTATAAGCTGACCTTAGCCTTAGAATTCTTGGGTTCGACTTCACTCTTCTTTGCTTTGTTTTCGCCATTCGAATTCGATTTCAAGCTCTTTACCTCTTTCTCCAACTCCCTCAAGCCCTTCTTCAATGGGCTGTCTTCGGTTTCACCCTTAGAATTCTTGGGTTCGACTTCACTCTTCTTCGCTTTGTTTTCACCATTCGAATTCGATTTCAAGCTCTTTACCTCTTTCTCCAACTCCCTCAAGCCCTTCTTCAATGGGCTGTCTTCGGTTTCACCCTTAGAATTCTTGGGTTCGACTTCACTCTTCTTCGCTTTGTTTTCACCATTCGAATTCGATTTCAAGCTCTTTACCTCTTTCTCCAACTCCCTCAAGCCCTTCTTCAATGGGCTGTCTTCGGTTTCACCTTCGCTTTCGGAGTTTTCGGGTTTTGGTGATAGTTCTACGGCCTCTTTGAAGAGAAGGTCTAAAGGCTTTCTCGGTTTGGTTTGGTTTTCAGTCTGGTGTGAGCTATAGAATCTCTGGAAGATGGAGGAGAATGAGAAAGGTTTGCGGGTTATTTGGGAAATGGAAAGATGGGGTTGAAGGAGAGAGTAGGAGTGGTGGTGGGAAAGGAGGGTTCTGAAGGGAGACATGGGTCATGGGTTTAAAGGGTTTTTGGGGTTTAGGCCTTGGAGGGTTTCGTTTGGGCATATAATACAAGGGTGGTGCTAGAGGCACCAACTTTGGACACCAACTCTCTAATAGAGGTGGAGCCCGCCAATATAACGGGTCCCACACTCTATTAGAGAGTTTGTGCCCAAAGTTGGTGCCTCTAGCATTTTCCATAATATAAAGCAATGAGCTCTTGACTGCAAATTAATCCGACATACATCTGGTTGAAGAATTGAGATTTAAAAGTACTAAAATATTCCTTAAAAATAAAAATAAAAAAAGTGTTAAAACATATATATCGTACTGGTGATGAAATGGGAAAAGAGATGAGCATGAAAAAAGTTGTAAATTCCAATTATGAGTTTTATGTACAGAAAAAATAATTTGAAATGACTTAATAGTTAAGTTACGGTTGTAGAAGTTCTCAACAGGATATTAAAAGTGGTTGCGGGCTTAACAAATTGGCTAGAGCGGATGTGCACCCCACTTTGCATCTGAGTTTGAATCCCGCTCCCAGTAGTTTAGATTAAATTAAAATTAGATTATTGTATCTATCAAAAAAAAAAAAAAAAAAAAAAAAAAAAAAAAAAAGGTTTGGACCAATATGTCTATCTCTCAATTCAATATAAGAGCTCTGCTATTTCAAAGTTAAGAAGCTAAACAAAGTGGATAGGAAACTTATGCAACGGAAAACAAACAACTGCAAATAGGCTTATCTTAATATCAACAAAAAAAGGTTGCTAAATATTACAACTTTGTTGATAACATAATCCTTTTAGTCCAAAAGAAATAAAAGATAACAGAATCCTTCTAACACCCAGAATTGGACTTTTCAACAATACAATTGTTGCAGAAGCTAGAAATTGCATCTCAGAAAAATTCAACTCGACAAGTCCTCGAACCCCTTTGAATCAACTCAAGTTCCTTGTCTAACTCCTCTCTTCTACACAGCAAATCACCAGCATAAATAGTCACCTTATTCAGAACTTTACCCTTCTCTAACAAATACTTGGCTGCTTCCATCTCATCAGAGTCTCCCTTGAATCCCCTTATGGTGATACTCTTGAGGTGGGTGGACAAACAAACAGGCACGGTCTCTGGTGTATTCCATTCATGGTCGAAGTATTCCGCTGAGTATTCTTCATCCTCCGAGTATTCTTCATCCTCTGAGTATATACTACACGCACCCTGACAGTAAAAGAATGAATGAAATGAGCACAGTAAAGAGCGGCATGTTAGTATCACGCAGCACAAGGGGAAATAAATCTTACTTCATTATGTTCTAAGACAAGATACTCCAAATTAGGTGATCTCTTGAGCAGCTCTGTTAGCAATTCCCAATCGTAGCAATTATGAAGAACCAGCTTCAATTCGCTCAAATTATCAAAAGCAGGCACACTACAAGCCTTTGTGAAAGATAAAGTATCGATCAAACATAAACTCTTGCAGAAAATAACATTGCTTGTGCACAACATACTATTTCAATCATAAATTGCCAAACTGAAAAACAGGCTTTCAGTTACAAACTACGTCTGGTACAAATAAAGATTAAAAGATCGATGGATAGGGTAAAATGAAAGGAAAAATGCAAGATGCAAGGATGGTGCATCCCTAGTATAGTTTATATCATGGAAGGAAAGGTGCACACATTTTTCTCATTTGTTTTGTAGGTAAAAGGGTTCTTTATATAAATACAATTCCATTTCTTTATTTTTCGTTCCAAACCTAAACCAAATTACTAAATTCTTTTCTTTCATTCCTTCATTTTATCCAACTTTGAAGGGATTTAAAAGATGGGCCTGTATGCATGCCTCACCCCTCCGATTTTCCACTTTACAAACAAAAGGAATACATACCTTTCCTTTCACTCTTCCGACCACCCCTACTTTCTTTCCTACAGTCCTCTCTACCAAACAATATGAGAGGAACAAGTCAGGGCATGTTTACCTTCAACGAATGAGCTGAAAGAGACAAATACTTAACATTGGAAATTCCTGCCAGAAGCACACTTGAAAGCTTAGAGAAGTCACAATGTAAACATGAATCATGTGAATAGAGATTAACAATGGCTTTGACCAGGGACTTCGCATTCTTCACAATGTAATTTGACAAACGATCCTCCATGACATCAAGTTTTTCAAGCTTTGGAGCATTTATAGAAAAAGTGTTCTGAGGAGAAAAATCTTCACCACTTAAACTTATTCTTAATGTCTTCAATTCAGGCGCAGAGATGTAAACATCTGCATCATGTTCAACAACTCCATCTATAGTCAAATCTTCAAGTACAGGGCAGCAAGAAAAAAACTTTTCCATTGATTCATAATGAGGATAATAGTCTGTAACATGGAGGAACTTGAGACTTGGGAAACACCCTGACTTAGGAGGAACATATCTAAGACAATCTGAATTTAGCTTCAAAACCACCAGTGTTGTGGACATGAAAAAGCTCTGAGGCAACTCAAAAATCTGGCCATTGGAGTGAACACGAAGATCAAATTCAACAGCATTAAGGTCAATAGCAGTGCGAATCCAACCATCAATACGAGAGAAATCCTCAACACCGGAACAACGAAGACGAAACTTATGAATGTCGGCTGAGTCACGAAAGGAAAGTACATGATCGACAAACATCGAGAAAGAGTCATCCCTCTCTATCCAGGGATTGTGTTCGTCGTCGAAGTCTAGATTGAGAACAGAAGCCCATATGTTCTTCCATCTTGAAGACAGAATGCTGGTTCTCACAGCAAGTTTGGTTGGAAGGAAGGAAAGTATGTGACAAAGAACTGCATCAGGTAATTCACTGATCCAATCTCTAACTACTGCTTGCGGCTTTGGCTTCTTTACCAGTATGAGAGGCTTTGACTGCGAACCCATTTTTGTCACTGTACATTTTGATGAAAAATTAAAAACAAAAAAACAAAAACTCGTAACGTAGGCTTGCAATTCTGTTAATTGATCTTCACAAATATCATGAAATTCTACTTTCTAGAGAGAAGTTTTTCAAGGGATCCAAACAGCCCAAAGAAGAAAATAATCAATGGAACCATTTTTGGGAAACTATATTCTACCTAGAATTAGCAATTGAAAAGAAAGATTATATTTTCTTCACAGATAAACAACGCAAAAGGGGAAAGACTTGAATCCTTTTCTATTAACCATGTCTCTGTTTTCTCGGTAACCAAACAAATGGTAACGAAGTCTAAGGGTTACGAAGAAAAGTACCTGAAACGTTGTGAGATGGCCCAGTAGTACACTACTGGCAGCGAAGAATAAAATCTGTGATTGATTGTTGAGAACCGCGGGAAAAGCTAATAAGAACAAGAAGAGCATCGAAACGACAGCGTTTTAGCAGTCTCTGCTGCAACTATGAAGTGCGAACCTTGTAGGCTTCTTTCCAATCCACTGTTTCAGTTTCAGAAAACTCACCTTATTGCTCATTCTCTCTCTCTCTCTCTCTCTCTCTCTCTCTCTCTCTCTCTCTCTTTAATTTTTTGGTTTAATTTATTATTAATTTTTTTAAATTTACCTTTTTGGTTTCTTTGGTTGATGTGGGGTCCAGACGGAGGGGCCTAGGGCCCCTCTTTTTTTCCTTTTTTTTTTTTTTTTTTTTTTTTTTTTTTTTTTTTTTTTCCGTGGTCTGAACCTTCTTTTTCTTTGAGAAATTTTTCTGGATAAAATATAAATTTGACTGTGTCAACGGGGCTAGCTCAGCGGATTGCAGACTAGTGGTCTCAGTTTCAAAACTTATCACGCCTGGGTAGTACTAATGTGTGTACGAGAAACTACTACTCTCCTTATAGTTTAGACAGTCACTTGTATTAAAATAAATAAATTTGACTCTGCCAAAAAAACTTTTTATTTTTGAAACTGTTTATGTTTGCAATTGCTAGCCTATGTGTAAACATTGTGGTTTTTATGCTAATTTGCAAGCCTTCATAACCATCCCCAACTGAATCTTATTTTATTAATAGGAGTTTGGTTTTTGTGTTATTTTACTTGTCAGAGGATGATTTTAATTTGGAACCTCTCTCAACAAAATGGAAATAAACATATCGCTAGATCAATAGCTATTTTGTAGATTTGGTTTGTTGATTGTTTAAACAGGAAAGGTAATTCTGCTTGTTTACACTTGGCTCCTAAATGATTTGTCATGAGGAGAGGCATCAGATACAACTTGATGCTCCTACACTAATGGAAATTAACCATCTACTCCTCCATTGGAGATTAACCATCTTCAAAGAAGCTAAACAAGTGGATAAGAATTTTATTCAGTGGAAAAAAACAAACACTGCAAATAGATTCATCTTAAGATCAACGTACTTTCATAGCAGAATCCTTCTAGGACAGAATTGGACTTGCAAAATAAAATCGTTATAAAAGCTAAAAATTGCATCTTGTATAGATTCGACTCCTTCTAAAACCCTGAATTGGAATTAGTAAACATAATCGTTGTCAAAGCTAGAACCTGCTTCTTCGATAAATTCTACCTGGCAAGTCCTTGAACCCCTTTGAAACATTGAAAATTCCTTGTATATCTTCTCTTTTGCAGGCAGAAAATCACCTGTATAAATAGTCATCTTACGCAGAACTTCACCATTCTCTAACAAATACTTTGCCGCTTCCCTCTCATGCAGGTGCCCTTGGAATCCCCTTATGGAGATAGTCTTGAGGTGTGACACCAAACATATAGGCACAAAGTCTGGGGTATTCCATTTTTCAGCATTGGAGCATCCATCCTCTGAGTATTCTACCTTTGAGGATCCATCCTCTGAGTATTCTTCGTCCGAGCATATACATTCTTCATCCTGACAATCATTTAAAAGAATGAATGAAATGGGAACCTTATAGATCTGCTGTTGATATCACATAACATGAGTAGAAATACATCTTACGTTTTCATGTTCTAAGAATAGATGTTCCAGATTAGGTGATCTCTTGAGCAACTCTGTTAGCAAATCCCAGTTGTAGCAATCATGAAGAACCAGCTTCAATTCGTTCAAATTATCAAAAGCAGGGACACAACAAGCCTTCATAACAGATGAAGTATTGATCAAACATAAGTTGCCAAAATGGAAACAGGATTTCAGTTACGAACACTACGTTTCGTACAAAGAAAAAAAAAGATCGATAAGTAAGGAAAATTTTGAAGAAATAGAATAGGGGGCATGCATGTGATGTGTCTTTCCCTCGGCTAAGATTTTCTTCATCTCTCCTACGCAAAAGGGAATAAGATGATTCCCAAAAGGAAAATAAGAAAATAAGAGATGAAATGAGAATCTCCTCATGTAACTACAGATCAAAATCTTATTCATTTCCTATACAAACCAAAAGCAAATTACTATTTAATTTGTTTCATTCTTTCAATATGTCCAACTTCTAAGTGATTGAAAATATCGACCCCTATGCATTCCTCACCCCTCCACCAGTCTTCCTCTTTACAAAAGAAGGAGCACATATCCTTCCTCTCTTCCAACCATCCCTTCGTCCCATCCTATAATCCTCTCTACCATACAAAGTTTAAAAGGAACAAGTTAGGGCATACTTACTTCCCAAACATGAGCTGATAGAGAAAGATATTTAACATTGGAAATTCCAGCCAGAAGTGCATTTGCACGGTTAGAAAAGTCGGGCTGTAGATCCGCCACAGCATGGGTAAAGAGATTAAGACTGGCTTTGACCAGGGATTTTGCATTCTTGAATAAATATTTCGATAAAATGTCCTGCTTGAGATCAATGTTTTCAAGCTTTGGACAATTAATAAGAAAACAGTACTGATGATCATGATCGCCAACCCAGTCTCTATGCGGCAAGATCAATTTTAAAATCTTTAGTTCAGGAGCAGATATCTTGAAATTCAAAACATCATCCGATCCAAGAAGTCCATCTATAGTCAAATCTTCAAGTACAGGACAGCAAGAAAAAATCTTTTCCATCGAATCATTAACAGGATATTCAACTCTGACATGGAGAATCTTGAGACTTGGGAAACACCCTGACGCAAGAGGAGCATTGGTAATACAGTTTGACCTCAACTTCAAAACCACCAGTGTTTTACACATGAAAATGAATTGGGGCAACTCAAAAGCCAGGTCTTTATCTGTTGTTTCAAAACAAAGATCAAGTTCAACGACATTATGCTGGATGGCAGTTTGAATCCAACCAACAATACGAGCGAAATCCTTACTACCACAGGAACAATGAAGGCAGAATTTTTTAATATCAGCTGAACCACGAACGGAAATCACACGATCAACAAACGTGAAGAAACGAGCAGAGGTAGACTTGTCTTTCTTTTTGTTGAAAAAATAAGACTTGGCTTCTACATATTTGAAGTCTAGGTTGGGAACAAAAGCCCATACGTTCTTCCATCTTGTAGAGAGAATGCTGGTCCTGACAGCATATTTTGTTGGAAGGAACGAAAGGATGTGACAAAGTACTTCATTTGGTAATTTACTGATCCTGTCTTCAACTCTTGCTGGAGGATTTGACTTCTTATTTGGTATCTTCCCACGCATTAGTAACAAACCCTTTACCCTCGAACCCATCTTTATGTCTCTGTGCATTTGGATTAAAAAAAAATAATAATTAAAACTAAAAACTCCTAATTTTTATGTCTCTGTTCAGTTACTTAGAAACATTAAACTATTCATGTATGAAAAAATATGTAATTCTATTTTCTAGGGAAAAGCTATTCAATGAAAACAGACAGACCCGAGAAAAAAAAATCCATCAATGAACATTTTTCCGGAAACCATAACGATCTAGAATTAGCAACTGAAAAGAAAGATTACATTTTCTTCACAAATAAACAATGCAAAAGGAAAGACTTGAACTTTCCATGAATCATTTCTCAGTTTCTCGGTAACCAAACAGATGGTACGGAAGAAGCCAAAGGGTTACGAAGAAAAAGTACCTGAAACGTTCTGAGATGCCCGAGTAAAGCCCTAGTGGGAGCGAATAGTAAAACCCCTGCTTGGTTGTCGAGAAACGGCGGGAAAGGCTAAGAAAATTGTAACCTCAGGTACGACGCCGCTTTGGCCATCTCTGTTGCGACTTGCGACTTGCGACTTGCGACTATGAAATGAAAATGTGAGACTTCTTTAGGAAAACTAGAGCCTTATATGCATCTTCTCTTTCAGTTAGGCCTCTCTGGCTTTGAGCATTTGTTTCTTTTTTCAACTCCCTTTTGGGCTCTGTCTCTTTGGGCTTTCATACGAATTATTTCATTTAAGTGAATAATGTTTTAACGTTAAAATGAGAAATACCATTAAATTCGAAAGGAGTTCGTATTTGATAATCTTATTCTGACTAGAAAGACTTGTATAAAAAATTAAACAACAATTAATTTGAAGGAGCTTAATGCTCCTACATTGCGAACCTTCAATTCCCTGTATATCTCCTTCTAAACAAAAGGATAAGCAAAATATGGTTCAATGAAGATGAATTAACCCCAGGCCCTTCCATTGAAAGTTAAATAGAAATAAAACGTGGATAAGAAATGTTCAAAACACAAAACAAACATAGGCCAATGTATCTTATGATCAACAAAGGTGTTTCTCTTATTTACAACTTTGATAACAGAATCCATCTAAAACCCAATATTGGACTCACAAAATAAAACATTCAGATAAATTCAACTCGACAAGCCTTTGAAGCCCTTTGAGACATTGAAAATTCTTCGGCTAAGTCATTATGAATAGTCATCTTACTCAAAACTTGACCCTTCTTTAACAAATACTTAGCCAATTTCTCCTCATGCGGGTATCCCTTGAATCCCCTTATGGTGATAGTCTTCAGGTGTGATATCAGACAAACAGGCACAGATTCTGGTTTTCTCCATCGCTGCTTTGAGTATAAGACATGTTTCGAGTACGTTTCGTGCTCCTCGTAATCCTCATCACATCCCCGGTACTGCAAAGTATGCATGAAATGAGAATAGTAAAGAGATGCATGTTGGTACGACTTAGCATGAGTGGAAGTGTATCTTACTTCTTCATGTTCCACAACAAGATACTCCAGATTTGGTGATCTCTGGAGCAACTCTGTTAGCAAATCCCAGTTATAGCAATCATAAAGAACCAGCTTCAATTCGCTCAAATTATCAAATGCAGGCAGACAACCACCCTTTGTGAAAGAAAAAATACTGATCAAACATAAACTCATGCATGAATGAAACATTTACTCATGCATAGCATAACATTCCAAATCATATATTGTCAAAATGGAAGACAGGCAGACTTTCAGATACAAACACTACTTACGGTACATAGAAAACATACATGCATCCTGCATAAAGTAAAGGGAATGGAAAAGGTGGCATGCCAGGGATGTGTTTTTCCCTCTGCAGTTTAGAATATCATGAAGGGAAATGTCGACAAACTTTTCGTGAGTTGTTTTGTATGTAAAAGAGAATACGATGTGATTTTATTTCTTTATTAATTCCTTCCTAACCCAAAACCGAATTACCATTTATTTCTTTAATATGTCCAACTTAGAGGGATTCGAAAGATGGGCTTGCATGCATGCCTCAACCCTCCAGTCTTCCTACAGATGAAGGGAACACATATCTCTCCCTCTTTCAAGCTACCCTGCTCTCTTTCCTATATTCCTCTCTACTAAACATTGAGTAAAAGGAGCGAGTCAGGACAGACGTACCTCCAAAAAAGGAGCTGAAAGAGACAGGTACTTAACATTCGAAATTCCGGCCAGAAGCGCAGTTGCACAGGCATGCTGGTCATGCTTAAAATGGTACACGAGATCGACATTTGCTTTGACCAAGGATTTCACATTCTCGAATAAATAATTTGACAAAATATCCTGCTTGATATTAAGGCTTTCAAGCTTTGGGCAATTTACAAAAAAAGTGTGCTTAATATCTTCATTATAAACACAGTCCAGTTTCAATTCCAGTCTCAACCTCCTTAGTTCAGGCACAGAGATGTTGAAATTCAAAACATCATCTACTCCAAGCAGCCCATTTATAGTCAAACATTCAAGAACAGGGCAGCAAGAAAAAATCTTTTCCATTGAGTCATTATCAGGATACTCAACACTGACATGTAGGAACTTGAGACTTGGAAAACACCCTGATGTAGGAGGAGTGTATGTAATACAATTTGAATTCACCTTCAAAACCACCAGTGTTTTGCACATGAAAACGCATTGAGGCAACTCCAAAGGCGGGTCAATATCTTCATCAAGTCCTATTTTGACATCAAGATCAAGTTCAACAACATTATGCCTAATGACAGTTTGAATCCAACCATCAAGCGAGAGAAATCCTCTTCACGGCAGTCACAATGAAGACGACATTTTTTAATATCTAACGGGTCACGGCAGGAAAGTACACGATCAACAAAAGTGAAAAAGCGAGCATGGGACTCAGAATCATATTCATGTGCCCACAAAACAGAGTCATCTCTAAATTCGAAGTCTAGATTGGGAACAGAAGCCCATATGCTCTTCCATCTTGTAGACAGAATGCTGGTCCTCACAGCATATTCTGTTGGAATGAAGGAAAGCATGTGACAAAGAATTGAATCAGGCAACTCACTAATCCTATCTTTTTCTTCACGCTTTGACTTCTTTTTTAGTCTGAGAGGCTTTGATTTCGAACCCATGTTTATGTCCCTGTACAATTTTCCAGAAAAAATTAAATACTAATAATCTTCATTCACGCAGCACATCTTGTCTAGTTACTTAGAAACTTTAAAACATTCATTTACCTTCACAGCTATCTACGCATGAAATTCTACTTTCCATAGAAGGTTTTTCAATGGAAACAAACAGAACCAAAAAAGACAACATTTTTCCAGAACCCATATTCAATCTAGAGTTAACAACTGAAAGAAATACTATATGTTCTTCACAGATAAACAACGCAAGGGAGAAAGATTTGAAATTTCCATGAATCATTTCTCAGTTTCTCGGTAACCAAACAGATGGTACGGAAGAAGCCAAAGGGTTATGAAGAAAAAGTACCTGAAACGTTCTGAGATAGCCGAGTAAAGCCCTAGTGGGAGGGAATAGTAAAAGCTCTGTTTGGTTATCGAGAAACGGCGGGAAAGGCTAAGAAAATCATAACCCACAGGTACGACGACGCTTTGACCATTTGACTCGAGCCTTTTATGCACTTTTCTTTCGATAACAGCTGTTTGGGTCTTTTCAGTTTCTAAGGGCGTCTCTTGCTTTAAGCATTTGTTTCGGTTTTTGCACCCTCAAATTTTCATTTAAACATAGAATTTTTTAACATTGGAAAAAGAAATGAATACCATTAAATGTTAAATAGTTAATGGGTTTTTCACAAAAATTCATTTTAGTCGCTAGGAAAATTTAGCCAAATTAGTCACTGTATTTCACACAATTTATAATTATTTTATCTTTAAGTGCAGTTTTTATTTTTACTTTTTTAAAAGAAGCACGTTTAGTATTGAGATTTTCAAATGACAAAGAGACGTCATCAAGGTGATTAGTTGATTTCAAATTAGTTTGGTTTGGGTTTTTTATTGGCAAGTTGTTAATTTCAACTTAATGCAAGATAACAAAATGTCTATAAATTGTAAACTATGTAAGACCAATGTGACCATTTTTGTTGCGACTTGCGACTATGAAATGAAAATGTGAAACTTCTTTAGGAAAACTCGAGCCTTATATGCACCTTCTCTTTCAATTAGGCCGCTTTTGGGCTTTTATGCTCACATTATTTCATTTAAGTGAATAATTGTTCAACATTAGAATAAAAAATACAATTAACATTAAATTAAAAAGGGATTTGTATAAGTGAATAATTGTTTAACATTATAATGAAAAATACCATTAACACTAAATTAAAAAGGGATTCGTATATATATTTTCCATGTTTACGCTTCAAACCAAAACCAACTTAATTACGTTTTGGGATAGTGAATAAAATGAATAGCATTTGATACTCTTATTCTGACTAGAAAGACTTGTGTAAAAATTTAACGACAATTAATTCGAAGCAGCTTAATGCTCCTACATTGCAAGCCTTCAATTCCCTGTATATCTCCTTCTAAACAAAAGGAAATGCAAAATATGGTTCAATGAAGATGAATTAACCCCGGGCCCTTCCATTGAAAAGTTAAATAGAACTAGAAAGTGGATAAGAAATGTACAAAATACAAACAAACATCGGCAAATCGATCCATCTTAAGATCAACAAAGGGGGTTTCTCTGATTTACAACTTCGATAACAGAATCCATCCAAAACCCAATATTGGACTAACAAAATAAAAACTTCAGATAAATTCAAGTTGACAAGCCTTTGAAGCCCTTCGAGACATTGCAAAATCTTTGGATAAGCCATTACAAATAGTAATCTTACTCAAAACTTGACCCTTCTTTAACAAATACTTAGCCACTTTCTTCTCATGCGGGTATCCCTTGTATCCCCTTATCGTGATAGTCTTGAGGTGTGATATCAGACAAACAGGCACAGATTCTGGTTTTCTCCATCGATGCTCTGAGTATAAGACATATTTCAAGTAGTTTTCGTGCATTATGTAATCCTTAAAACATGATATGTCCTGCAAAGTACGAATGAAATGAGAATAGTAAAGAGATGCATGTTGGTAGGACTTAGCACGAGTGAAAGTGCATCTTACTTCTTTATGTTCCACGACAAGATATTCCAGATTAGGTGATCTCTTGAGCAGCTCTGTTAGCAAATCCCAGTGATAGCAATCATGAAGAACCAGCTTCAATTCACTCAAATTATCAAATGCAGGCAGACAGCCACCCTTCGTGAAAGATAAAATACTGATCAAACATAAACTCATGCATGAATTAAACATTTACTTATGCATAGCAGCATACTATTGCAAATCATAAAACACCAAAATGGAAGACACGACTTTAAGTACGAACACTCCTTTTTTTTATATATAAAAACAAGCGATAGTCTAAACTACAAGGGGAGGGGGACATGCCTGCTAGGTATGTGTTTTTTCATCACGAAGTTTAGAATGTTATGGAAGGAAATGTCTACAGACTTTTCAGTTGCTTTATATTTCTTAATTATTTCCTTCCTAAACCAAAACCAAATAACCATTTATTTCTTTAATCTGTCCAACTTAGAGGCATTCAAAAGATGGGCTTGCATGCTACCCTGCTCTCCTTCCGATACTCCTGTCTACTAAACATTGAGTAAAAGGAGCGAGTTAGGGCATACTTACCGCCAAAAAATGAGCTGAAAGAGACAGTTACTTCACATTGGAAAATAAGGCCAGAAGCGCAGTTGCTCTGTTAGAAAAGGCACGCTGGTGACGCACATAATGGCACCAGAGATTGACATTTGCTTTGACCAAAGATTTTACGTTCTCGAATGAATAATTTGACAAAATATCCTGCTTGATATCAAGGCTTTCAAGCTTTGGGCAATTTATAAAAAAAGTGTGCTTACTATTTTGACCCAAACAGCTTAGGTTGAATTCCAATCTCAACGTCTTTAGTTGAGGTACAGAGATGTTGAAATTCAAAACATCATTGAATCCAAGAAGTCCATCTATAGTAAAACATTCAAGAACAGGGCAGGAAGAAAAAATCTTTTCCATTGAGTCACTATCAGGATAATCAACACTGACATGTAGGAACTTGAGACTTGGAAAACACCCTGATGTAGGAGGAGCATATGCAATACAATTTGACTTCATCTTCAAAACCACCAGTGTTTTGCACATGAAAACGCATTGAGGCAACTCCAAAATCAGGCCACCTTCATGATTATTTATTTCAACATGAAGATCAAGTTCAACAACATTATGCCTAATGACGGTTTGAATCCAACGAGAGAAATCTGAAAATACATGCAGGATGACTCAAAATGCCTAGAGGAGGGTGAATAGGCCAATTTAAGATTCTAATCAAATAAATAAAAATAAACTTCGGTAGCAAGATTGATATGGCTTATCAATCCTGTAACGTGCTTGGCATACAATAAAAGAACACGCAGAGAATTATTTTACGTGGTAAAACCCCACCTCTGGGGAAAATCCACGGGACTCCTCAGTCCAACACAAATCCACTATAGAACGATGATTACAAGAAGTACTCACACACTTATCTTAGACACATTCTAGATAATGTTTACCGACTTCTTCGTAACTCAACTTCTGTCACGGGATGATCTTCGACACTCTTTATGTTGAACGCAATACTGGCCACAATTGCTTCAAGCTCACCGGAGGAAAACCGCCACCATAGTCTTGGTGCCCTCAACCGTATGAGTCACCGACATGCATATGAATGCAATATGAATGATTAAAGTGTTTGATAAATCACCAAGTAAACATTGAACACTTGATGATTTATCTCAAATATACGCACAACAGCTTTTCTTAGAATTTTATATCCTCAAAACAAATATCTCAAAAGCTGTGCTCATAAAAGAATGGCACATGATCTTTTATACAAGACTTGTTCTCTCTAGTTGGAGAGAAGCACAATAGGCCACGAATATTAAATGTTGCACCACAACCTATCATCAATAAGAGATTTGATTCACCTTGGACTCAAAGTAATGACGCCTCTCTTTAAACCAAATTAACCAAGAGGTAAGCAACGTGCAAAGTCACAATAGGAAAAGATAATATTTTAACTTCAATTAAAATAGAGTTGAACTAGGAAAGTAATCTCAAGAGATAAAATCTAATCTTATTAAAAATAAGATTAACATAAAAATACTTGAGTGAAAATAACTCCAACTAGGAATCATATAATGAATGCGTGATTATGTCATGATTTACCTGAGGTCAAGATTCTCATATGGTCAGGGCATGCCTCGGAAGTGTGAGGTTGAAAGAGTAGTGACAAAGCGTTCAATAACAATTCCTCACAAACTAATTTTCACCCTATACTAAAGTCTAGGAAATGCCAATACGAATTTCGTACTAACAAAATCCTCATCGCTGCAGTAACAATGAAGACGAAATTTTTGAATATCTAACGGGTCACGGGAGGAAAGAACACGATCAACAAAAGTTAAAAAGAGAGCATAGGACTCAGACTTATATCCCTCTGTCCACGGACACAAACCAGACAAAGATTTATGTTCGAAGTCTAGAATGGGAACAGAAGCACATATCCTCTTCCATCTTGTAGACAGAAGCTAGTTCTCACAGCATATTTTGTTGGAATGAAGGAAAGTATGTGACAAAGAATTGCATCTGGTAACTCACTTATCCTATCTTTAACACTGTCTTGACGCTTTGGCTTCTTTTCTAGTCTGAGAGGCTTTGATTTCGAACCCATTTTTATGTCCCTGTACATTTTTTCTAGTTAGAAACTTTAAACCATACCTTCACACCTATCTTCTAGATTAACAACTGAAAGAAAGATTATAAGTTGTTCAACAGATAAACAACGCAAGTTTCCAAAAGACCTATTACAAAGTCATAGGGTTATGAAGAAAAAGTTGAAAAAAAAAAAAAAAAAAAAAAAAAGAAACAGTGAGAAAATCTAGGAAAAAGAAATCATGAATGTTGTTAGCCGGGCTAGGATTTCATGTGTGGGGGCAATGTATACACCGAATACATATAAAAAAATTTACAATCTTTCAACACATTAACAGGGCACAAAACAATTATATATGCATAAAAATGTTATACTGAATAATAAGTAACAAGAAGGGATTACTTGTAAAGAAATAAAAATCTTGAAGCACCACAAATAAAAAATTTTCTTTGCAAACCTGAGACAAGTACGGCTTGAGACTCCAACTTCGTTTTGAGTTTTTATCAATTTGGGTCATATAAAAACCAAAGCTATTATTTTCCTAGTTTCTTGCTGGTTGGCAAAAGGAGATTTTTTGTGGAAAACTTGAATTGATTGGTTGCCTCCTTAATTTCTATTAATGGTGTGTTTACTAATCAGGAATTAGAAATCTTATTAGGAATTGAATTCCACCTATGTAGGATTCCTGAATTTACTTCACATCAAGGAATTAAAAGGTAAGTGGGGTCCACACAAATTTAGGAATTGAATTCCTGATTTTGGAGGAATTCAATTCTTGGGTGGGAGATGGTATTCTAATTCCAAGAGAACTAGGGCATTAGAAATTCATCTTTTTTACCTATTATATCCTCACACAATTTTAAAAATTTCAAATTTGCCATATACTTTAACTCAACAACGAAGACATTTTAATAATTAGCACCAATTCTACTCCAATTCCATATATAGTTTAGGAAACAACTTTAATATGAATCCGGAATCTAACTCTCCTCACTCCATATGGTTTAACACCTTTAATAGGAATCCGGAATCTAATTCACCTCAATCCAACTCATCCTCAATTCAATTCATCTTCAATTCAATTCCTCCTAATCTAATTACGAATTCGTAAAGATGCCATAATAAATTTGGTGGGGCCTAGAAATCCCTATTCACCTCTACATTTGTCTTTATTGTGGGCCTGGCTTTGCCTTTGTGTTATTTCGGTTTTTGGCTCCCTTATTGGGCTCTACCATTTGAGCTTTCAAATCAACATTAAAAAATCAGCCCCAAAAAACCAATTTGAAACTCTTCTATCTAAATAACCTTTAACTATATGGTGTCGATCAAGTGGGGTATAGCTTAGTTGGTTGAGTTTTTCTACTTATATCCTTATGGGTAGAGGTTTGAAACTCCTAGGCACCCAATGAATATTTCCCCTCCCCCAATCGTTAAAAAAAAAAAAAAAAAAAAAAAAAAAAAAAAAATACATGAATCGATTATTGAGGCGATACACAATCCCCCTCCAATAAAGGCACAAAGTTGTTAAAATCTCTAGCTTTAAATTACAAGCAGTAAAAATTTTAGACTACACACAACAACACAAGGCCTCCCAATGCCCTCAAAACACCAAGTTGGAGAGTCATTGACTCTGAGTTTGGAAAGCAAATGATCATTTTTCTAATGACAAAATGTGCTTAACCAAGCCCTCCAAGGATTGGTATGAAGAGCCACCTTGTTTGATGCAAACATTTGCCTTCTCCATTAGCTGGAAGATTCTCTCTCTAATCTCTTCCCCTTCTTTCTCCACCATTATTTTCCTAACTGTTCTTTCAATCTCATCTCTTTTCATCCCATGCTCCAACTGCAACCCTACTTTCCAAACATCACTTACACATCTTGCATTCGCCATTTGATCACTGAGACATGGCATGCAAATCATAGGGACCCCCTCACAAATACTCTCCAATGTAGAATTCCAACCATTGTGAGTCCAAAACACTCCAACAGCTGGGTGGGCCAGCACCTCCTTTTGTGGAGCCCATTTCACAATGTGGGCCCTCCCATTCAGGGCCTCTAAGAACCCACTTGGCAGTGGTTCAAGCCATTCCGACCCATGTACTAATCCGGGTCGGATCACCCACAAAAAGGGTTGGTTGCTGTTGGCTAGCCCCCAAGCCATCTCCAAAAATTGGGCTTCACTTATTGCAGCAATGCTTCCAAAGCTGACATAGATGACGGATTTTGGTGCTTGGGAGTTTAGCCATGGAATGCAGCTTTGGTCTTGTGATAATAAGCTGCTACTTGAAGAAGAAGAAGAGGCTGCAGGGAAGCACTTGTGAAATGGGCCTATTGGGAAAATTGGGATGTTGAATTCTTGGCGAATTGTGGCCAGTGAACTTCCTTCAAGGTCTTCAAAAGTATTGAAAATGATCCCATATGAGGCCTCAGTTTCCTTCTTCAGGCCTGACACTAGTTCATAGTATTTTTCTGGGTCCATAGTTTTGAGCACCGGAAGATCTTTGACTTTGAGAGGTGGAAGCTCTATAACTGGTTCTTCTAGTCGAGAATCTAATGATGCCAAGATAAAAATATACTAATAAAAATATGAAGTAATTGAAAGTATAGGAAATTGTCGTCACCCAGAAATTTAAGTAATTGTCAAGTGTAATAGCATATGACAATGCATGTAGATTTTGTAGCAAACAGCCAGGGAATTTGGACTTTCTCTTTGTCTGGATATCTTTGTTTTTAACTGAATTGTTTATTAAAAATCAAAGGACTTTTTCCATCTTAGTTAAATAGGTTTGATATAGTAAAATAAAAATACAATATAATTCTTAGACTTCTAATAAGCGAATTAGATTTAAAACAAAGATCGATAAAATTAAAGCATCTAACTCAAAACCCATCGATAATGATCGGATATGTCTAACATCTTACGTACTGTAGTGCAAAACTTGACATTCTTGGTATGAGATTTATGTACTTTGAACAAAGATAAGCAGAGGATCTGGATCCACAATGAAACATGTAAAGAAATAAGCTTAATCAAAAGCCACACCTTGTATGGGGAGGTAACCCCTTTCCAGCAGAAGTGGAAATGCAGCATAAGCAACAAAGGAAAAGGCAGCTGAGGTCCTTAATAGAATCCTTGGGAGCTTAAGGCTCTCAGCAACAGGTTGAGTGAAGTGAAACAGAAGGTCAGAGATCAAGCAAGCAACAGGCTCCTGATTATCTGATAGCAACCTAGCCAAGCATTCTCTGAAGGGTTCAGAACACTTAACATTGAGAAGAGAAATAAACGCCAAAATATCGCTTGTGGAGGCCTCAGCTTGAGATAAGGCAACAGGGATTGAGTGGAAGGTGAAGTGTGGATAGGTTGAAGGGTTGAGAGAGTTGAATTGGGTGTGGATGATGGTTATGGAGAATCCTTTGTGGTGAAGAAGGTTGGCCAGTTCTAGCATGGGGTTTAAATGGCCTTGAAGGGGCATTGGAAACAGTATCAATCTCAAACCCTTCCTTTGCTCCATGTTAGAATTTAGAGGGAGCCTCTGTGAGATTTCCTTGGCTTTGGCTTCTGATTCTTGTCAATTCTCAATGTTAGGCATATGATCAATGTAAATTCCATGTGGCCCTATGTCCCTTAACTATTATTATTTTGCCACATTTGTCTCTTTTGTTTCAGAAGCATACATGAGAGTAATATTCTCTCCGGCGGAATAAGTATAAAATGTGACACAAGAGTTGCGAAGATTACAGTTAATTAAGACATTAAGATATACAAAATGTCTAATTATATTTGTTAAACTGCAATTAACGTTAGAGAAACAGTAACTCTCCATTCTCTATTATTTCAGTTTCAGACAAACTTGATAGAAAAACATGGTTCAGAAGGAATCTCTTTCCTGCTGGCGGGTGGAAGGGTCGGGCATGATGCAGACCAGTGTTTACCTGTGGTCAAACAGATACCACAATTCTTGAGAATCGCACGTCCTTCATCTTGGCCACAACAGGACCCTCTAAAGAACCAACCACATACCCTACAAACTACATCACAACCACTGCCAAGAATTGCATTCTTTGGGACACGATCCTTGTAAGGACATTGTTGCCAAATGTGCTCACCCACCTTTAAACAATACTCGCATTCACCTATTTGCAGTTTGTAAATCTATTATTAGATACAACAAAAGCAATAAAAATAATTATTTATAGAAAAAATAAATTAATGAATGAGGATGAAAAAACCCAAATATCAGTCTTGTGAGCACATGATATTGATATTGAATAACAATAATCTTTGATGAAATATATGTAAAATTGTAAATAGAGAAGCTACAGACGAAGGGGAGGCAAGGGTTTGTTAGGAGGTGGGAGGAGGAGCTCTATAATTTTTTTTCTCTCTCTCCAAAATCAAAGGCATACCAATATCAGGACGAGGGAGCTGGAAGAAAGGAATGTAGGTGCCATCAGGACCAGCCTTTGTTTCAGCTTTGCTACCTATATGCTATTTTTATTATTTGTTAATTGTTATATACATAAAAAAAAAAAAAAAAAAAAAAAAAAAAAAAAAAAAAAAAAAAGGGACGATGTCAAAGAAAGTTAGAAGGAATGAGACCTATGATCCATAAAAAATAACTATAATATTAAATGTCGGTTATCCAATATGCACACACCAAAATAACTTGGATGCATAAATTGTCTTCAAAAACAGAATTGAATGCATCAACCAAACTAAAAGAAAAAACAATTTCTTTTTTTCCAAAATACACAGAGTCCAAGCATATTCCAGATAATCTTCCTCTCAAACCCTAAAAACAAAAGTCAAGAGCATACCAGGAGCACTAGGACATAAGAGGGGAGAATAAGTGTGAGCAGCAGCAGCCTATGGTTCTAATAAATAAAGGGCTAGTAAGGCATAAAACATTTAAATAAGGCCATTTTACTATTCTATTCTCCCATTCAAATACTGCAAACATAAAAAAGCTTTTTTAGAAAACTGGTCTAAAAACACTGAGTTCAAGTAATTAACCATTTGTCTACCAACAATCCAAAATCAGTTGTAGCTTAATTTGATCAATTAGCAAAGGCATGGCACCATATTCTTCAATTACTTCCCAAAATTAAAAGAGAAACGTGCAACACAAAAAATTTGTCGAAAAAATACACCCAAATAACCAAATGCGCAACGAACTCAAAACTAATCTCCCTCTAAAAGTATTTTCAAATCAAATATAACTAAAATACTGTACGAGACGAAATTCTATACATGCACCAAAAAGTAAATATTTTCGATGTAAAAAGAGAAATTGTCATACACAAAATCTGAGACATAAAATTTAAAGCCCAAGTAATTAAATTGCAAAAATTCTTCGTTAGAAACCCTTAAATTAAAGGAAAAAAGAAAATCATACCCATAGGCCAGCCGAGTTTCAAAAGTGGAGACGTATCGCTGTCAAGGGGGACTGGACTATCTCTGGTGGGCAAAGGACCTTTCTGCCACCTTTCTTATTGACGACAACCGAATTGCCACAAATTGACAAATCGCTGATGCGGGGGATATCTGGCGCGAAAAGTTCCTTTGCGCCGCGGTCCTCAACGAACCCCACCGACTGGGCATCCAATTTCTGGCAATCTAAGGATGAGACAAGGTCCATGGATGAGTCTGTTCGAAAGAGAGGAATGCCTGCCTGCAGAGCTTTGGATTTATTAGGGTTCAGGCTTCACATAGAGATGAGATTGTAAATTGTTAGATTAAAAAAGAAGGTGGTTTTTCAATAAAAATTAGTTTTATAGCAATAAAAGTTAAGTCCGTCATACAACTTAGCCTAGATAAATTCTTTCTTAATCTTTATTATTTTAAGACGCTCCAAATGTTGATTCTTTCTTTATTTTTTTATATTAGAACGCTAAGTAAATAACCAAAATAAGAAAATAATAAGAAATCCTGAAGAAGACTCTGTACGTAAATAACCAGAAGAATAAATAGAAGAAGACTTTGGGTTACCAGGCTGCGGTTTCCTCCTGGTAGAAGGTGAAGGCCTTGTTTGTTTGTTTTGGTCGTAGCGTAGCGTGTGAAGAGAGTTAGGGTAGCTGGACAAGAAAAAGAGCGCCCGATAATTTTGGCTTTTCCCTGTTTAATTCCACAATCTTTTGTTTCCTTTTTTAGAACAATTTTTTTTTACAAATTTATAAATAAACCCAATCCTAGACATGTATTTATAAAAAAACCCAAGCACTATTTAAACATAGAAACACACCCAAAGTCAACTTTTTGGGTGTGTTTATAAATGGGTTTTGAGTATGTGTAATGATGGGTTTTGGGTGTGTTTATATGTTTAAATGGTGCTTGGGTTTTTTTAAAATTTCAACCCCCATTTTGGGTGTTTTATTGAAACTCCCTTTTTTTTAAAAAAAATGAACAAAAGTTTAGGGGAGGGAGAGGCTACTCCCGCACCGAGGGCTAAAGTAAACGTGCGACCTAGAGCTGTGGTTGGATTGATGCAAGGGCCCATTATCCCCCTCCCCCAATATGGAATTACACTGGACAATTTAGGAAGACTTTGCAAATGTAAAATAAATTTTAAAAGGTCTAAAAATTTAAATATTAAGGATGGACCATCACTTATAGGGGTGTGCAAGATCCAATCCAACCGGCCCAAATCGACTGATTCAATTAATTAAATTTGGAGTCGGGGTGTTACAGAGGCGTTACGGGCTAGTCTGTGTGCAAGAGTGGATCATGGATGGCAATGGGTGGTGCTAGAGTCTGACTCTAAGCTCATGATTGATATGTTGAAAATGGGCGGCTGTTCTAACTCTCGGGTTGAAAGTATAGTGCATGACATTCGTTTTCTGATGCGGCAGCTCTAGACTATGGTTTTGTCCTTTGTTCCTAGAATAAGTAATAAAGTGGCACATTTAGTTGCTGCCTTTGTGTCTAAAAACTATGGTTTGTGTAGGTGGGAGGGCTTTCCCCCTTGTGGTATCAAGCATCATTTAAGTACTCTGAGATATTCACAAGGCAATGGACAAACAGAGGCATCTAACAAAATTGTGATAGACTGCTTAAAGAAAAGACTAGAAGACGCCAAGGGAAAATGGGTAGATGAGTTGCCCGAAGTTCTGTGGGCTTATCGTACCACCAAAAGAAGATCAATTGGCTAAAGCCCATTTTCCTTAGCTTTCAGTACAAAAGCAATCATTCCTCCACACATCACTGTTCCATGAATGAACATCGAGGTTTGCAACATTAACCAGAATTCCGAGAAGATGAAGATCAACCTCGACTTACTCGAGGAAAAACAAGAAAAGGTCATTGTCTGAGTTGCAGCTTATCATCAATAATTCATGTCCTACTAGAACATGAAAGCAAAGGTTAGACAGTTTTAGCATGGTGACCTTGTACTTAGAGAGACCTTCATTATGACCTATATGGAAGGATCAAAGAATATGAAACCCAGTTCGGAAGGTCCTTACGTGATCAACTCATCTGTGGGTAGAGGAAGCTATACACTTGATACTTTGAAGGGAAAAAAGGTTCCAAGATAGTGGAATGCTTATCACCTCCGGAGGTATTACCCATGAAGCTTTCAATTACCAGCTTAGTCCCCAGTAGGTGACTGAGCTTGCTCCTCTTCAGTTTGAAGAAAAATTACCTTTGATGTTTTTCAAGTTGTTCATCTAGTTGTTTCTATTCGATAAAGCAAAGTAATCACACAAATATCAATGCAAGTTCAGTTTTTCATTCAAAGAAATGTTTGAGAAAAATTAACTCTCAATACAGGATGACATCCTTTACGTAGGCGGTGGGTAAACATTCTAGCATCGATCCTAAGGGAGATATTCAACGACACTCTTTACGTAAGCAGTGGATAAACATTCTAGCATCTTAAGGGAGATGTTCAACGACACCCTTTACGTAAGTGGTGGGTAAACATTCTAGCATCTTAAGAGAGATGTTCAACTAAAAGGCCAGCATGTCCATGTAAGAGATAGTTCACGCAAGTTGCCCAACCAAGGCACCAGTAAGCCATTCAAATAGTTCACAAGACTGAAGAAAAATTTTGATTAGAAAGTTAACTAAAATTTTCATAACGAAGTGGCCAACTGGCCTAAGTTCAACAAAAAAAAAAAGGTCAACTGAGACTAATACTTAGAAGAAAAATAAAGCAAAGCTACAAAGCTAAATAAAATAAACAAATCTTCATCTACTGCGAAGCTTCAGTATGCGACTCCCTGTCCTTAGCTCCAGTCATGCCAGCCTAGCCTTTCGCGACTAGTTCGAGTGCCTGCTTATCAATTACGGCCACGTACTCGACAACTCTGACTCTTTGGTGTTCTCTTGGAAGGTTTCGAACTTTAACAGCAGCTTATCATAGTTTTGAGACAAGTTAGCAAACTCGTGCTCGATACGAAGGCATGCCTCCTTTCGCTCACTAAGGGCAGCATCTAAGGAATCGAGCTCGCCATCCTTTAAAGCAAGGGAGCTTTTCAGCAGGGATACATGTCTCTTCAAGTCTAAAATCTTCATATTTTGGCTAGTTTGCTCGGTTAAAAGTAGGTCAGACAAAGCAGCATTCTTTTTCTCCAACTTTTCAAACTCAGCAAAAAATGGGGCAATAATGGACGAGCTCTGGATAGCCTCAGGGGCAAAAATCACATCATTTTTAATCAAAGCAAGAGCTTCATTGTTATACTCTTCTGCACGAAGACTTGGAAAAGTACCAAGATCACCAGCTTGCCGCAGATGATCAACCAGCCCATGACAGGTAGACGACCGTGCCAGGAAGTTAGTTTTGAACAGGTCAGACACATACACATCCCTAATAAGGCAAGACTTGGTCCTCTTAGGTAGATCATCGTAACCTTTAGCCCGAGCAGACAACTCTTTTGATGTTTGGAAAGCCTCGATCCTAGCCTCTAAGAGAGTCAACAATCTTGCATCAGCTTTACCCTTGGTTTCTTGCAATTCGTCAAGTGGCGTGCTCTTGCCAAGTGAAGTAGCAACCTTTTCAATTCGATCCTCATCATTTGACTGATGCAGATGACTCAAACTTCTACTATAAAGGTCAGCATCTCTTTGCTTTTCGGCAAAAGAACCAAGTTTTGCATAAACATTTTTGCAGGGCAGATCACCGGTCTTAAACTTTGCAGCTGAAGACTTCTCAACTGATCTACCCTTGGTTTCTTGCAATTCATCAAGTGGTGCACGCTTGCCAAGCGAAGTAGCAGCCTTTTCAGTTCGATCCTCATCATTTGACTGATGCAGACGACTCAAACTTCTACTAGAAAGGTCAACATCTCTTTGCTTTTTAGCAAAAGAACCAGGTTTGGCCCAAACATCTTTGCAGGGCAGATCACCGGTCTTGAACTTCTTAGCTGAAGACTTGAGCATTGCATCCCTAATATTTCGCATGTCATGCACATTCTTGCTATCTTCACCTACAGTGTACTTAACCCTGGTAGACGACAAATGAGCAGCTCTTACTTGAGTCTTCTCAGCAGACGAGACCTCTTTCGAAGAATGCTTAATCTCAACATAAGGAAGACAGTGTTTCTTCATCAAACGAGATACATCTCTTGCTTGTGAGGTCATAACTTCATCCCTGGAAAGCTTAGGAGCAACCTTCCTTTTTCCAGAAAGTTCGATCGAGGACTCATCCAGCTCATCAGGGTTATCATCCGAGTTGGGGCCATATCGCTTCCACCTTTCAATGTCCCTGGCAGGGGGCAGACCACCTGCTTTACTTCGATGCTCGCTCAACAGCCAACGCCACTCGCGAAACTTCATAGGGATGTTCATGGCTTGGTGGATCTTAGCCATATCCGGTTCGAGATCAATCTTTTTGCTGATGTCGTCACCTGCAAGCAGAAGACGAAAGTCAGACACTCATACATTCAAAAAATTCAAGTAAAAGTGAAGCAAAACAACATATCATGACATACCATGACAGTAAGTGATGGGAACTTGTGGACCATCGTCTGCCACACCTTCCCACCTTCCGCTGACCTCTAGCACATCAGTACTCCATGCATGATCATCGTCACTAAGGCTGTCGAACATCTTCTCTTTGTGTGCGCGAAGTTGAGCGTACTTCTTACAGCGTCTCACTTTGAAGAAGTAGAAAAACTCCCGCAAAGTTAAGCCCAACTTGAAAAAGCGATTCAGATTGTCAAAGCAGATTACAGTACAATAGACATTTGGAGTACACTGACTTGGAGCACAACCCATAGCATGGAACACCTTCTTGAAGAACTTTGACATGGGGAACTTAAAACCCAAGGAAAAATAAAATGGGCGAAAGGTGATAATCCTCGCGTCTGGATCGTTTGGGTCCTCGCGAGCCACATCATCAGTCGAAGGCTCTGCCAACCTGATATGCACATCATTCGGTATGGCAGAAGCAAAACTGGTGCGCCACTTTTGGAATTGTGCCTCAGTCATGATGGGATGCAAATTGGCCACGAACCTCTTCTTATGAACCTGAGAACCGCCCCACAAATACAAAGGCACTTGTGAACCCAACGACCGACTTCCCTCGTCAGACGACATGGTGGCTGAGCAACAACAAAAATGGAAGAAAATCACAAGTCAAGAAGAAGCCATGTATTTATAATGGTTGGGCATCCTTAGTTAAGAAAGAATCAAAAGCCTACTCCAATTAGGAGCCCAACTCCAATAAAAATTAGTTTTATAGCAACAAAAATAAGTGCGCCATACACTTAGCCCCATATAAATTCTTTCTTCATCTTTATTATTTTAACACGCACCCAATGTCGATTCTTTTTTGATTTTTTTCTATTAGTAACCTAGACATACATGCAGATCAATAAGAATCATTGTTTTTATAACTAGAAAGATGGGTTCTTGCTCTTCTGACAGCAAAACAAAAATATGCTAATTCACAGCAGAATTGCAGATATCGGGTAGTAAAATTAAAATTCACAGAAAAACCAAAATATGTTTTTGAAGCCAAAAAGAGAATTGATACCTGAGAATAAATCAGAGCCTCAAGTACACCCTCACTCAGTAAACGAAGAACGCTTAGCAAATAACCAAAAATTAAAAAAATAATAAGATCCTGAAGAAGAAGAAGACTCTGTATGTAAATAACCAGAGGAATAAATAGAAGAAGACTTAGGGTTACCAGGCTGCGGTTTCCTGTTTGTTTTGGTGTAGTGGTAGCGTAGCGTGTGAAGAGAGTTAAGGTAGCCAGAGACAAGAAAAAGAGCGCCCAATAATTTTGGCTATTCACTATTTAATTCCACAATCATTTGTTTCCTTTTAGAGTAAAATTTTAGGAAGACTTTGCAAATGTAAAATAAATTTTAAAAGTCTAAAAGTTAAATAGTGGAAAGTTTTTGCTCCGATCATCCAATCAATCACATACAATCTTTATTTCAAATCATCATAAATTGACGGAATCAAGAAATACAAAGTTTATTGGCAAACAAAATGAAAAAAAAAACATAAAAAACGAACTGGGGGAATTACAAAAGGATGCAAAAAAGAAAATAAAACTTTGAGATTTCTGCTAGTCACAGCTAATACAAGAGGATTCAGTTACTTTGAGATTTCTGCTTGAGGTACTTGATTGGTTTGTGGAGGGGGCCCTGTGGTAATTCCTGGCCTGTACTCATCCGTCACAGCTTCCGTTTTAGGTGTTCCATTGGTTTGTGGAGGGGGGCCTTCAGTAATATCTCGCCTTATAGGTCCAGAAGCACATCTTCTAAACAAAAGAAAAAGAAATAGAAAAGGAATTATTAGTGTAAGTAATTATATGTAAAATGAAACTTAAAAGGAATGAGAATTACATGTTTCGTGGTTTGAATTGGACTGGATTAATGTGTAATGGTCACTGTTTGGTGAACTTATAAATATTGAGACTCGAACTTATTAAATCGGACAACAATCCAACATATTGTGCCTTGTAAGTCCCATAGGGTGAGACTCATAAGGACTGGTTTGGACTCAACTCCAATTCAGTCCAAATGGGATAAGAAATGCCAACCTCCTTACTCATATGACCTTTAATTATAAATAACTGTGTAAAAAAAATTATGGTTTTCAAACTCTAAAGAAGAGGGGAAAATTCACCACCAAAAGATAAAAGAAAAGATGTGGGAAAAATGACTGTATAGGAAGACCAATCAACTTACACAGTCGTAAATTTCCATTGTATGGTCTTCAACATGGGAATTCGGAGCATGGCCTTTGACATGAAGCCTCTAACGACAGCCATGTAGGTAACTAATTAGAGATATACAAAGTTTGCTGTATCTTCAGTTGAGCCCGAGGGGATGATTTATAGGCTGCTACTTGGAATGATTTGTAGCAGATCTTGGGGTGGCAACTAGCCAAGTCGACTAATAAGACAATACGTAATAAATTAAATGACCAGGAATAGTGACTTGGTTGTTGAAGAGATTAATTATTTGATATACGTACTGATCGTTAGACCGTCTTAATAATTCTCTTGCATGGACGATTAAGTCATCAAGTCACAAGTCCACACTGCTGGGAATTAATTTATCACAACTAATCTGCTGATCAGCCTCTTTTATTTGTTGTCTTGCCAATTACAACTACAATAATCTTGGAGTCTCATGACTTGGGAGATTCTCCAATTCCTTTTTGCTTAGTCAACATATATAAGACAACTATTTCTTTTCGATATTTTTTATTTGGGCGATTCTCCAATAAGAATTTAATATAAGACAAGGATTAGTTATATATTTTTAATATCACTTGTTGATTTGTGTTTAAGAGACTACCAATATCTTTAATAAATGCAATCCAACAGTTAAAATTAGAAGTATGTAACTAATCCTTAACATATACTTATCGTAGAATCTCCCATTCTTATTTTACTGAAAGTTACTGAAATATTTTGTGTGTACATATTCTGTGTCTAGGGAGCTAGAAAGCTACATGCATCGAGAACTTATTATTATATTTAGGATATATACATGTCATTCATATTATTTATATGATGTTTCTAGAAAGCTATTATTTATATATGCATGTCCAAAAAAACAAAAGGAAAAAGTCACTTGAGGAGTAGGTCTGACTTCTCAAATTTGGTTTGCAATCCTTTGGAGAAGTGAACAGCAGCAGATCGATCCAAGTCAACGTAATTAAGTTGGAAAATGATACTGGGGGAATTACAAAAGGATGCAAAAACAAGACTATTATTCTTAGCTAGTCACAGCTATTACAAGAGGATTCAGTTACTTTGGGATTTCTGCTTTGTCTTGGCATCACTTGATTTTCAATTTGAGTCAGCATATTACAAAATCCAAATGTTATCTTATACGGTTGAGAGTTTAAAAACTCAAAGATATAAGATTACAATTGAATTTGTAACACAAGACTTTAAAAGTTAACCAATATCACAAGCAGCAAGAGAACTATAAGCTTATTCATTAATCAGAGGTTCTTCACAACTTGTGCTGGAATCCGTTTTCGATTTGAGCCATTGGCACCATTCTGCTCCTCCTCATCCGTTGTCACACCATTCTTTTGGGGTACTTGATTGATTTGTGGAGGGGGGCCTGTGGTAATAACTGGCCTGTCCTCATCCGTCACCGCATTCGTTTGAGGGGTTTTATTGATTTGTGGAGGAAGACCTGTAGTAATACCTGGCCTTCTGGATCCAGATGCCATATTAGCAACTAATTAGAGATATACTTTGAATGATTTGTACCACAAAGTTTTCTGAATAACACGAAGTTTGCTATATCTTTTTGTGGCGTCTATTAGTTGAGCCCAAGGGATGATTTATAGGCATCAGAGATCTTGTGGTAAAAACATTGTTATCCCAAATACAAAAACCAACCCATCAGTAATTAGAATACCACCTCAAATACGCATTTTCAGTATTTTCATAATCTGACAAGAGTACATGAATATAAATCGATATAAATCGATTTCCCATTGACCACCGAGATGTTCTAAACCCATGGACTTTGGAACTGATTAATTTAAATTCAAATGGTGAAACTAATGTGAATTCCTGTTCCTGGTCGATGGCATGTGTTTGTGACTTTGATTAGTCTTTCCCAAGCTTTTTAAATCCCACAAATAGTGACTTGATTGTTAAGGAGATTAATTATTTGATCTGATCGTTAGACCGTCCCTCTCTCTTGCACATGGACGTAAGATTCAGTCAAACCACAAGTCCACACTGCTATACGTATCACAACTAATCTGCTGAGCCTCTTTTATATATTGTCTTGCCAATTACAACTACAATAATCTTGGAGTCTCATGACTTGGTTTATCAACTGACATTTGTCGTCCTTACAAATGTCAGTATCTTATTTATTAAAAATTGAGTGCTGTTAAACGATCGAACTCTAAAATTAACTGAGTACACCTTACTACCAAACTATTTATTGAATTACTAATTTACCCTAATATAAAATGACCAAAAATGATATATTGAATTGTGAAACAATTGTAATTTTAATAGCAGTAATGCTACGGGCACCAACTTAAACACCAACTTTTTATTACCAACTGATGTCTCGCATGACATGGAGAATCTATTTTAATTTAATTAGCTTTTTTATGTTTTTAAAATTTATTTGATTAATTATTAGTTTGCAAATTATAAATAAACCCAATCCTAGACATGTATTTATAAAAAACCCAAGCACTATTTAAACATAGAAACACACCCAAAATCAACCCCAAAGTCAACTTTTTGGGTGTGTTTATAAATGGATTTTGAGTGTGTGTAATGATGAGTTTTGGGTGTGTTTATAAAGTGTTTTGGGTGTTGGGTTTTTTTATAATTTCAACCTCCATTTTGGGTGTTTTAGTGAAACTCCCTAATTAGTTTAACAACCAAACCCTAACATCATCCTAGCCGCACCATTGTCATCGCTGCAGTACTAGATCCGCCATGATTCCACCATAGACAAACTTCTATAGATCTCCAATATGACTTTTCTCTTTTGATGGTTCTTCATGTCCTTGAAATCCCAAGTTTATTTGAGGCCATATAACACTACAATGTGATGGACAAGATGATAGCTGAGATAATCATATTACTTCTTCCAAATTTGGTGTGATAGAGGATTTGTCATAGATTTGGGTGAAACACCTCCACTCTTTCTTTGATCAAGTTCATGATAAGTGACGATATACAAAGTTTAAGGGCCACACCTTGAAATTGGTACTTAGGTGACGAGGGTAAATTTTACAACACTTAACACAACAATTTTCACACACTTTAGACCTTGACCAAAAACACTTATGACTAGTCAACTGCTAGTCATGAACAACCATAATCAAGAATACACACAGAGCATGCCATAATATACCTGCAACCCTAGAAGATTACTAATGACAACTTAGGCACTTAGAATGACCCGTCAATCTAGGCATCCCCTGTGCTAGCAACAACTATGGTGAAAGTGTGTGAAATTATCATAATCAAGTAAACACCAAACAACAGATAATGATGACTAGTCAACTACAAGGACACAAACCTAGAATTCATACGATGACTAATCAACCACCAAGAACACAAACCCAAAAAATTACAGAGATGCAATCAGAAATTGTTCACCCAGAAACCCACCATTGGGAAAAACTAGGGGTCATCAACTTATTAGGCAATCCACTAAGTAGAAAAATATTATTACAAAGGAACACAAACAAGCTCAAGAAAAACCTAGATCTATTTAGGAAGTGAGCTATACCTTTTTTGTGCAATCTTCTTCTCCAACTTAGCAAAGCTTGAAGCTCAGTTCTTCATGGCAATGACAGCTCCTTCTCCAGCTCATTCATCCCATGGCACCAACTTGCAAGCTCTAACTCAAACAGAAACCAAAATTTGGATTCAAAGGAGAATGACCAATTTCTTCAATAAACCATACTCTTGAAGAAATCAATCTTGAATCTGACCTAGATATATACGAGAGAGTGTTTGATCTAGCAAGATGAGGTTTTCATATTTCAAATGCAGTTGTCAAAAAGAGACATTTTGGAAAACTCAAAGATGAAAAATATGAATGTTACACTTGAGGAAGAAGAGAAAGTTTACAGAGAAACTTTCCAAAACTTGCCTACAAAAGTGACAGATGCCAAATTAGGAATCCTTTGGCCTTTACACTCAAAAATTCCCTAGGTCTGAATCAACACATGGTAGCAGAGAGAGAAAGAAGAATATGACAAAATAGTTGGTTATCTAGCTGGAAATCCTACAGAGCAAGGATGACTAGTCATATGAGAAACAGATGATTAGTCATCATTTTATGAAAGCAATTTAATGCAATGTGATGCAATGCACAATTTACCTTTGTCAATTTGCTTGAACCTCCATAGGATAGTTGTTAGTTAAGAACACCTAGATAAGCTATTCTTAATCTAAACTTGAGCTTGATAAAAACAATACAAATCTTATTACAAAATTGTCAAGGAAGCCAAAAGAAAAACTCAAAATGCATACATTAACAATCTCCCCCTTTTTGACTTTCCTTGACAACACTCTCTAAATACACTCAACCCAAAACCAAACCTAAGGAGATGAGGAAATGAAGTATCTGCAAAACAATAACCAAACTCCCAAGCACACAACAAGCATATTATATCACATAATTTTGAAGTAATATGCGGGTTGAGAGTGTTCTCCCCCTTGTTGATAAGGAAATAGCAAAAAAGCAAATATAGAGAAACAGTAATCAAGTGAATTAAACACAAGTCACATAATCATATTTGAACAATATGCACATGACACAGTTTGATTACAAAGCAAAACAGTATTTGTTCAAAACAATACAAGACAGCTCCCCCTATCAAGTTGCATAGACTACCTAAGCAAAAAGATCCCCACAATGTGATTATAAAAATATACCACCCAACCTATCCAAAAATACTTCCCCTGAGTATCATATAACATAAAGGAATTAACCTTTGACGTACTAATCCAGCAAACTTTCCATAAATAGCCAACAAACACAAAAGTGCATTAGGCTAAAGAAAATAAGAAATGGAGCAAAAGTTGCAAGGAATCATATCTAAAGCAATTAAAATAAAGTGGCTGAATTTAATTTCAATGTGTACACATTACACATAAAGAAACTCCCTTAAAAAGATAGAATTTAAGCAACATATTTATCAAAACAATGGACAACCAATGAATTTTTCTTTACACACCATAGTGAAAAATCAAGACAGAGCACCAAGATTTCAAAATTTAAGACATCAATCATTGTCAAATTTGAAGAAGGCACCAAGCAAGATGAACCCTAAATTTTTGCTCAAAATTGAGGACATGTGAGAAACAACACAAGAAATAAGTATCTAGGTTGTCCAAAAAACACAACATAGCTTTTCCAAAAAGCACAAGAAGAAGAGAGTAGACTAGTGAAACGGACTAGTCACGCAAGTCTAAATTTGGGATGGTATCAAAAGACCAACAACCTCATAAACATAACCAAGAACAAAAGAGAGCAAATCAACTGAGAGAAGGCTTAGGAAGGTAACATTGATGTATGAAAATGATAAAAACAACCAGCAAGAATGTTGCCAAAACACATGCATCTCAAAGAAACTCCCCCAACAAAATAAATTAGCCAACAATCCAAAACTCATATAGCACAGCAGACTCATAAGGATTTCAAAAATTATGTTAGGCTAAATCATTGAATGTGGGAACACAACTTATTAAGATGACTGGTCATAGACCAAAGTGGCATCATCCAAACACGACCACATATAAACACAATACAAGTGTTGAAACAGAAGGTGTAAATGAGACAAGAAAAAGACAAGTGAGCCTTTGTGCTTTGTTTCATAACCAATGGTCTTTCTTAGAGAGTGAAAATTAATTTCAACAAAAAGGAACAAGATCCCTATTAAGCATATACAACATGACTTGACGGCTAGAGACATAGCTAAGGAATAAGAGACAAAACCAGAGACACGGTCAGAAACGAAAATAGAACATGATGACTAGTCAACCACAATCAGCGTATGCATATAGTGACTAGTCAACCAGAGTAGTAATCACAATAAGCAACATGTTTAGTATCGACCTTATAGAAGATGAAGGACTTTGCTAATACACAGAGAAGAACTAGCAAACATATCAAGTGATCAAGGATGTTCAGCATTCATTGTCTAGGCCAAGTCTTCAAGCACAAGAATTAAAAAGGAAGAATTAAAAGCCTATGCAAGTAACATTTACAACCAACTTTGAGAGATAGAATATGAATTGCATTTCATGCTCAGAGACAAGGCATATTTTGGAATAGGGAGGTTCAAAGCCAAGGGACACAAGGAATGATATCTTATCTCTCTTGGAGAGACATGTATACAATGAAATTTTATGACATGATCAGAGTATAGGCTCAAAGTTTAAGTATCATCACTCTCTATTAACAAAATATATGATTTATTTTTTGACACTTGCACATCCCAGACATAAGTGCTTGAATATGCCCAATTTTATGGCTCTTTGCTTTAGATGCTTCAATTATATCACCTTATACCTTCCTAGAGCCGTGACTACATTCGTCCCTCTTTTTTTTTTTTTTTTTTTTTTTTTTTTTTTTTTTTTTACAATATTGAATAGATTGGCTAAGAGAGTGAGATAAGCTAAGAGACAATAACAATGACAGTCCAAAATGAAGCATAGACACTTGGCTCACCAA